AGACAGTTTGTCAACACTTTAATTAATCAAACGTTGAACGCAAGATTGAGTTTAATGGCCTCAAGTGAAGGGAAGCGAATGCACAAAACGGCAATTTCTCACACACGCCAAGTTGTAACAGTAAATTCAAACTGCAGAAATCACGCTTATTTTGTTTTAGCCTACGTATTTGTTCTTCATCCAGTAACCAAAAGTTGTAAGGATATAATATAAATCTAAATTTTAACATATTGGAAACGGTTTTAATAACGAACGTCAATGTTGTTGAGTTAATTAAATGTCTATAAACAAATTAATTGAGGTTTTGGCTCACCAAACGGCAAGTCCAATGTTTTACACTAGATCGTATTTTACTTCTTCATAAGCAGGCATAGAGCAGTCGTCATAAATGTCTTGTTAATTATTGGTTTAACCACTATCACGAGCTATATAGCATATCCGAGTAGCCTTAAATCCGTACCACACAAAAACAGCCACTTCATACTTGCAAATTCCTAAAATAATAATTATAATTGTTTTTAAACAATTAGTATAAATGTTGTCAACCAAAATTTCACGTGTAAGGCCAGTTACAGAGATTTCTTCACGAGGTCCAGTTTAATATAAACGAGCGTGCTCAACGCTCTCCGCCGCAGATGAGACTTTATTCTCTCACTTCGCTCTTCACTCGAGTGCGTGAGACTCTCTTGACACTCTTTCACCAAGCGTCCTCCACTCTCTTTGAGCTCTTATTGCTAAAACTGGAGCGAGTAGTGTTATGCTTCCCCGAGGGTGATTGCATAATGTTAATTATATGTGAAATAAGTTATTTGCTCCAAACGTCATGTCATGAGTTGTTTGAAGTAGTAACTGACTCATTATCGTGTTATCTGCGAAAATAATAATGCAAAACCAACATACAGTCAACAGTACATACAATAAGTCAACAGAACCCAAAGACGTATGTTAAATGATGAGGGAAAACACGTACAATTAAATAATTAATTTTGTGTCTCTGAGTACTGTTTAAGTCTTATATCACATCGTTTTAAGAAATTAAAAAACAAAAAAATATCAAGACAAATTAATGGTTCCACACAAAAAAGCATGGGCATATCTTTAGGTTGTACATGATTTTACACAGTAAAATACACATAATATATTCAACTTATTAATAATTCGTTGTTATTGCCATACCACAGTTTCAAACATACCAGGATCATGTCGTTCATATTTTTACTAAATCCATTATGATTTTAAGTTTTGCTAGGTATCTGGTATTTTAAGAAACAAAAATTACGAAATTACCTATAATTTTTTTTATTTTCAGCTTGGATTACACAAACGGTGTGGCACGATCGACGATCACGTTATTGGGGTACAATACATATGACAGTATCTATCTAGACCCGCCACACTATGTTTTGGTTGTCTTGTTTACCATTTGACAATGGTATCTATTCAAACGAGTACCAACAAACACTCACTGGACCGACTTGTTTTCATAGTCAAGATTACACAACCAGTATCGAAACCTTGCACTTGACCTACTTTGGATTAGATGTTGATATTCACACCATTGGTGTTGTCTTACTGTGATTCAGGAATACGAACCACAGGAGTTGCGTCATCGATTGGCAGATAAAGTAGACTCCTCATCCATATGGACTAGATGATAGCCAATCTTTAAATTAAAATAGAATGAGCTTCTCACAACGCACTACTGTCAAAATTCTAGTTGTTCTCTTAGTTTTGGACGCTATTTTAGTTTTTGGAACAAAACGATGCTACAGTTCATATCTTGTTGTGCATTTAACTAGGCTTGGTTATAAAAAATTTGCCTATTCCGACGGAAATTGGGTATTGACACCATCGGCGCTTCAAAACGTGTTCTATGACAGGACACAGCTGATTGAATGATAAGGAGATGTCTAATTCTACGATAGTCAAAGAAATGTTCTGCTAAATTTCATTATTTCGTACTGGCAGATTCGAGGTAGCCTATGAAAAGGAAAATGTTCAACTTTGATGATTGTACTAACTTCACATACTATTCATTTTGGTCTTGAACTTGACCTTAACGTGACTTTGGCCTAGGTTTTTATTCTCAAACTGACCTGTCCACAGGCTTATCGTTAGAATGTGATGTCTACTTCTGGCTATGGCCAAATTTTCCGCTCCATTATTTTAACATAAGCCATATAATGTACAATTGTGGTATGGAAAGGAGTGGCCTACACATTTTGGTAGATTTTTCAAAACACAAACGCCGAATTTCCTCGCAGGCCTACTGTTGGGAAGAACACTCACGGTCTTGAACTTGACCTTAACGTAGAGACCCACTTGGAAGTGAAGTGATCGTTGGTTTAGAGAAAGTAAACGATCAGGTTAAAGTGGTGCGTCGCAGTCACAGGTGCTTGCTTGACCTAGTGACTTCCGGCGCCGGGAAACGGAAGTAACACCGTATCCACTGCCTCCTGAATCTCACCGGTGTCTGTGTCGCCCACCCTGGCGGTAAAATGATAACCGGAAGTCTAGGGTGGGTGGGTAACTGGAGGAGATAAGTTTAAAATCTTTGAGAGGGTTTCCCACTGTTTTTGTGCAAAGATTTTGGATTTGAAATATTTTATTTTGATTGTTTACATAATAGTTTCATTGTTGGTGTTTTGCAAATTTGTGATAAGGTTTTGCGAGATTAATTGTAAATATTATGTAATTTAGGGTATACCGGTATACTATTCACAACATTTCATTATGCTTAGTGGCCCAGGATCACTTATTGAAATAAATGGTTTATATTACCCGCGTAATCCTATTGTCACTCGTCTTTGGTGAAGGGATTCAAATTCCATCGTCAGGGGGTAAAAAATGTCATTTCACTCAAATTTAGGTTGTCGGTAAACATAAAAACACGCACGTAAAAAACACGAAAATAAATTCTTACGTAGTGATAATTATGGTTGACAAATTATTAGGCTATATACATTTTCAATAGAATATTTTGAATCATGGATCGATGTTAAATGTTGTACATATAGAAACATATATGATTAAACTACAAAAGGTGATGGTGTTCTTTTAAGTTTTGATAAAAAACCAAACACACTCTACTTACTTGTTAAATAAATCAATGAACGTACTTAACTTATTCACAGCTCTTACAACAGGTGTTTGGATATGCAGGGATTGAAGGATAAAGAACATTTAGAGAAACCATCCCATTTTGGACCAAAGTTTAGATAAAATAATGAACATTTCCTCCCAACAATTTTAAGGTAGTTGGACAGCCTGAGTCCCATTGAAGCCAGCACCTCCTGAAAAAATCCATAAATTAAATTGCTATAGTAGTAGGTATTGAAAATAAACATTTAACATTTATAGCATGGCGGCACAACTCCGACGGTGAATCAGTAGGCCTACTAAAGAGTATTTGATCAAAATTTTCAGTTAGATGGATTCATTTATATTTTTCAATTTAAATTCCATTTACAGTATAAGGGAAGGCTGACCTCTGGGGGCCAAAGAGGTCCAAGTGGTTTTGTTCAAATCCCAGTTTGCTTTTTTTAGAGATAATTTAAAAATAAAATTCATTCAGTTACTAATTAGAGGCACCACTCAAAAACAAAAACCCATTCCTCAAATGACTAAATCTTATGAACTGTGTTTATTTTAAAGTAAATTTTTAACAGGGTCAACGACTATGGAGAAATAAGCTAACTCCTGTTTGAAACAGTGATCCAGTGCACTTATCCAGATAGGTGTTGTCAAGACAGAACCACTTTGCATACACATTACACTCACACAGATCTGTGCAGGATGTAGGCGTGGCTCAATCAGCTGATTGTGGTCATTTGTATGGAACAGCTGAGCTTACACTGACCACATGGTTATCTGTGGTCTGATAAACAGTAATAAATGGATGTGTTAGGTGTTTTACTTACATATAAACCGTATGCTTAACATATACAAGTAATTTGTAGTGAAGTTGGAATAAAGATAACAGCATCCTGTAGATAACTGGAGATTGTGTTATGTCCATTCATTTGTTGGGATTGAGACAGTGATGTTAAGATGAGCGGGAATTTGCGTTTGAATGTTCTTGATCTTGGAACCAGTGGATATTTTGTTCAGTAGAAATTTATTGCTGTCAAACATTTAACTCACAACAGTCACTAAAACTCTTTTCAAAACGAAATACCAAATACCTTACAAATGGACTAAAGAGGGAAAACTGAATGATTTTTTTAAAGTACACAGTTAGAAGATAACTATGAGTACATTCTAGTCATTCTATTCTGATGGTGACAATCTAACCATTGTACAACTTCATAAATATGCGATGTTATATTCATAAGACTATTGTCAATCAATGATCATTTACACTGTCCAAACACTTACAATTCAATAAATTACTAGTTTTAAAATGAATTATGTTTACTGCAGTCACACCTGTCCTTCATCATTGCGCTTTTAATTGGTCCTTTAGGGTTACATCCCATGAAGGTATACACACACTTGTTTTGATAATAAAAATATCTGTGTTAAACAGCGTGTTTTCCATATGCATGGTACCAAAACAAAACCGAAGATATAAACTGGGGGACTGAGAACTATGTGTGTGTGTGGGGGGGGGGGGGGATATTTGTCACCGAGTATGGCCGGTGCCGTAAAGATAACTGGTTAGCGTATATGTCATCGCAACGAGAAAACGCTCAAAGATGTGTTCATTTTACTGTTGCAGATCACAGATCGCTTATTGTAGTCATCTTTCGTGCTTAGTCAAATGTTATCTAGTTTTATCATTTGCTGCAGATACTTGGTCGCCAAGTGGAACTATTGCCTTTGTCTGTACACGTGACATTTCACTCCACTCTGTACACCCATATCTTAGTTAGAATGCCCACCGTCTACAAGAATTCTGTTAGTTGGAATGTCCGTCTTGATTATAAAATGATAACTTTGATTATAAGGTTGATAATATTCCATTTTTAAGAGACTTTACGTAATGTTCAATGTTGCAGGGCATGTCTGCCGACAGTCTGGTGCCGGTGGACCGGGGCGTAGAGTCGTCCCCTCCCCCCCTGCCAGGGGCCCCGGGGGTGGTGCCTACGTACCCTCAGCGCTGCCATGCCATCGACTACAACTACGACCTCATCCCTGCCGTCATCTGTGCCATGTACATCGTCTTTGGCATCGTCTACAGCCTCTTTGGTGAGTGAGAAATGCCTCAATGTTCAGCCAAATTTTTAAAACTAATTTTCTACATTGTCAAACCCCCACAGCAAAAGAAAACAGTACTTAAGCTGTAAAAAAATATTGGATCAATCGGTACCTACTTTTGTCCACTCCGCCACAGGACTTTGTTGTCACTGGAACTAAAAGACCAGCAGAAAGGATTTCAAGTGTGGGGTAACTGTGTTTTGTGCAGCACTCTAAAACAATTAAAACAATCAGAAATTGGTGCAGGTTCTTAAGTTAAAATTCTAGCAAGTTCAGACAGCAAGGTAAAGGGGGTCGTCTCCACTTATCCACTGTGGTTTACACAGTCACACCACACGGAATTGTCCTATGACTTCAATGCACCGATCATCCACAGTGGATAACATCAAAGGCAGGTAATTCAATTTTGGATAAATGAGACTACTACACTTTCTTTTACGAATATGCTGAAGGAGGCTTCATTGAGCTCTCCGCCTTTTGAAATTTTCCAATCATTTCAAAGATCACAAAAGTTTTTTAAGGAATACACCTACATGTAATTACCACTAATTCTGTGCCTCAACGGTGTAAAAATGAGTAACTTTTTTCAGGTTACCGATGCTTCAAGGCCGTGATGTTCCTCACAGGGTTCATCTTTGGCTCAGTGATCATCTACATGATCTGCATACAGGACAAACTCTTGCCTCCTTACGCTAATGCAGGTAATACATTGAACAATCTAGACTCATGTGATTACATAGAGTGACTTGAAACTCTTTTCCCTCAAAATTAAAAGGTTCTAATTCTATTCGATACAACTTGATGAGTGGATGTGTTCAGTTAGAAGGTTTGCAGGTTTGATTCTGAGTTAAGTCAGAAGCATTTGATGGTTCAAAACTATCTAACTACCTAACTGAACTGAAATTTACAATGTTTAAAAAAAATTTGAAATATAATGTTTCAGATTTGTTTAAAATTAAGATGTGAACATGTTAAGTTAGAGGAAGATTGACAAAAAGGAATTTTGTTCAAAAATATTTTTTGTAGTTTTGGTTTCAATTTCAAAATCAATAAAAAATATTTATTTCTAACAAACATCTACTTTTGAAATATATTTAAATAAAAACGATAAAGCTGGTTTTGTCTACCAAGTGAAGAAAGAACCGGCCTGACAAGGTCTATTGAAATGACCTTTGAAGTGCACCTCTGCTCTATTTGAAGCAATTAGGCCGTCTCGCTACTTTATGAACTGTGCAAAAATAGGTGTGTTGCCTAGTGGTTAGCGTCTCTGACTTTAGTGTGAGAGAGACAGATTTGATTCACAGCACATCCACAAATCATATAAGTTAAGACCGTAAAAAGAGAGTTAACGTAAAGAGCGTAAGCGTATCTCTACTATTCTTAAAAAAAGCCTTTATTTTAAAACATTTCTTTGGACATAGTTGCAATTTAAGCTCAAAAAATTGTGGAATAGTAAATAATTTTGTAGTGTTTATCGTTTGACCATTGATGGATGTAGAAATTTTATATGTTAAATAAAGCTGTGAATAAACCCAAGAAACACTGTTATTGTGGTTCTACTGTACTTTCAAATGTACAGGTTGATTGTCAGTGACGGTTCCAAGGGGGGCTATAGGGACTAAAGCGCACCATGTACCCTGAAAATGTAAATTCAAACATACATTGTGTCATAAAAAGTAACGTTCCTAGACATTGAAAATGGCTTTTAAAAGTCACCGAACGGCTTTAAAAATAGCAAATTTTCTAAGGGTGAACCCCCAAACCCCCCTCCTGGTGATAAGGTCCTAGAAAGGCAACTGATAGTTGTCAACTAAATATTTGCAGGCATGGCGCTGAGTGCGGGTCTACTACTTGGCCTGATCACAATGCTCGTCCAGTACGTCGGACTGTTCATGACTGGGTTCCACACAGGGTTGTTTGTAGCCATCGCATCTCTAGTGACCACAGAGCAAGTGTCACATCCCCCCACCCTCCTCACCACGGCTGGCACCATGCTGGGCTGTGGTGTGCTGTTTGCCGTCCTCAACCTGCAGTGGCCCAAAGGTAAACGAGAAAGTTGACAATGTCATTATTTTGCTACAATCATTCAAAGTTAGGGGAATGGAGGTACAAAGTTCTAGTATTTGTGTTCTTAAGCTGTTGACAGTTCTTGAACCCCATTTAATTTTATAATGCTCATTAATTTTCGGATACTAAAAACATTCCTTCTATATGAACCAGCTATTATAGGTCGGCCGGACAGATAGCGACCTGCACAAGGATTCATCGCACATGTAAGAGGTCACTTTCCAAGCGGCCAACCTTTCATAGCTGGCAGTGTTGTCTCAGGAACATAGTTAGTTGAATGACCCACAAATGAGTGTGCTAAAACATTCCAAAATTCTATTCCTCGTTTAAATTTTGTTTAACTGCAATAGTTAATATTACGTTTACAATAATATCAGTTTAGCATGCTTAAATATTTTGCGTATTTAACAGAAATCAATAATATTCATCAAGGTCTTCCGTCGGTGGCTCTCAATTTAATTAAACTACATAATTTTTTTTCAAAACTGGTAAGACTCTAAATATACAGTATATGGTTAATGCATAAGCATTAATTCCTAGAAAGATTTTATTTTTACGGAAATTTGTAGGCATATTTTTAAGTTAAGGACCTATGTTGGGTGAGTCTTACTTTTAGGATGCAGATTGCTATAATAACTCCTCAAGTAACTTACAGATAGCTGGGGAGTAAAGTTTCAGCAAAATCAATCACAATCACTTGTAGTAAACTCCTAATGCTCCTTTAATGTTACAGCATTCACAGTGCTGGGCACCAGTGTCTACGGTGGAGCCATTCTCTCAGGAGCCTTGGACTACTTCATAGAGAAGCTGATGATGGTGCGGTGGGTCTGGGACCGCATCACTCTACGCCAGTCTCCTGCCCAGCCATGCTGGTTCAGCTGGGCAGTGCTGGGCCTTTGGCCGAGTGTGGTCGTGTTCGGACTCATCGTCCAGTTCGCAATCACTGGACGTGGTATTCACCATCAACAGCGTGAGTTTAAACTTATTAGCATTTCTTGAGAATCTGTTCCATTGGTGTTTCATCCTCCAGACAATACAATCTGCCTAACTTAGCATTATGTTAGATTTATGGCCTAAGTTTGTGTCAGTTGTTTGCAAAGGCCGTGCATTAATTGCACCAAAGAGTTCCTTAATTGTGCAAAGCCCTCAAAGGGTTCCCAAAATATGTTCTAGTTACGCCAAGCTCAATCCAGGTAGGAGTGAGTTACCGGCAGAAGGAACTAACCTAACTTAACCTACTTAAGTATACAGAGGGCCGCCACTTGGCGCAGTTAATGAACTTATCGGGTGGCTCCCTGGAGTATTTGGCAAAATTCAGGAATACCCGACTACCTGACTCAGGTCATTTGGCGCAATTAATGCCCACCTAGTTGTTAATTATGTTTTTTATTCAATCTTTAAGGTAGTCTCATTAAAACATGTAGCACGATTTGTTGATTGTACATGTACATTATACTTAACTGAAGTAAAAGTGAAAATATCTGGATGCTCATACTAAGCCTCACTACGGTACTAAGTTTAGCGTTCAGTGATACAGTATTTTCAATCTAACTTCAGTGTACTCTTTCACGTTTGCCATACAGTAAGCTATGTACAGTATTTAAAATGGCTCTTTCAGCAATACTATCCTCCACAAAGTCATTACATGCAAAACACAGCTTATTTTTTTCTTAAACCCACGTACTATCCAGGGAGTTAAAATCATACCCAAAGTCAAAATCCAAATTAATAATTATATGTCAAAATCTATGAGGAGTCTTCATTTACAGAAATAAGTAAAGTAAGTGCTTTTGTGAGCATCGTATGAGGACAGTTGACAACATCCTCATGACAATATACATGCTTTTCAGGAATGTCAATTACACGACTATCTCCCATAAGCCCTGTTAATGGGGAATTAAGTGGTATTAAGGGTGGAAGGGTTTTTTACAAATATTTTGCCAGCATGGCATGGCGGTGTAGATTACTGGAGTAGTGAAGTGAGTGAATCATCATGTAACGTGGAATGTGAACTTGGAATGGAGTTTAGAGTCATAACTTAGATGCAAAATTCTTAGATGTTTTAGTAAACAAAGTAGTGCATGAGCGATATATGTTATAATCTGACATGTTAATAAAGGCCTAAAGCCTACATGTCCTAAGCACAAATGAATAAAGATTTTTTGAATTGAATAGAATTGAAACATACTAAAAGTTTGGTATTGGTGATTCTAACTCATGGTAAATTTATTTGGTAGTATTGCCTGTGAAGCATCCCAATCGCCACGGCAACGTCCCTCGGCCGCGTACGCGAGAACAGAGGGCGGAGCTACGACAGAAGAAGTACCGATACTTGTATCAAGTACGGACTGCTCATGGAGATGTCATAAGTCAGGTGAGTTTAAACTCAATTAAGATGTGAAACAAATTAAAATTCCAATCTGTAATGGGGGGTTTTTAAATAAATTTCCCCATTGCAGTGAACCTGAAGGAACTAGATTCGTAATAAAAGTGAATTCAATTAAACCTCATAATAGTACAATTATCTAACCTTAATTATCTGCTGGCAGAATGCTCGAATAACCATTAATGACATTAATTGGAAATACATTTATAATAATTAAATGCATATCATTCCGCTGGCTGAGATTTATAATTTCTTTGATTTAAAGAACATATGAATTAATGTAGGCCTACAGAACTTGACAATTTTACTAATTGGCATAGATTAAAATTGTAATTTAATAACTTTTTTTGTATTTTTAAATTGTTTTGAACAGTAAGACTTTTTAAATCCATTGGTTAAAAATTTTTGAACTGCCTAAGGGGTACAAGATCTTGTATCTTAGCACACTCAGCTTTTTTTGTACCCAATTACAGGATTATACACGTTAATCTTGTATTTTTAATTCCAGGATCCAAGTAAAACTTTGGCAATGTGTAAAAAGGAATAGCAATATTTATCTGTTTGAACGAGTTCCCAAAGAACACACTAAAGGGAGTTTGTAGGTGGAAACAGTTATGATAACGGAAATGGGGGTCATTAAAAAATTAAGCTAAGTTTGAAAATTTTGTGGATTTTAAGTTTGACAAATTTGTTTCCTTAAAGAAATGGTGCAGAACTAAAAAAAATGAAGTTTCACGGATAGAAATACGTCAAACATTGCTTTTAACAACCATTAACTGTTAACAGTCAAGAACAAACATTGGTAGAAAATGAACATCACTTTTCATTATCAAATCCAACCAGTAAAAACCGCAGTTGGTACTTGGATTAGAACACTTTTTCTAGGTTTTAAATAATTTTCTGTTAACTTGTTCAGCGCGGCAGGCATTCCAACAGGCACTCGTCAATGGCGACGAGGCCCGGGCGAAGAATCGGCGTGGCACCGTAACAGGGAACGCAATTGGCATTCAAATATTTCAATCTGACGAATAACAAAAGAGCAGCGGTGATTGTACTACGTTACCCCGAGATTGGACAAAGTTCCATAAAACACCCAAAGGTAGCAGCACTGCCTGGATCAGTAGTCAGTGGCTTTGTAATGTGGCTTGAAGAGAGAAAATCCCCGACACCGGGACAAAAGCATTGTCAGACGGGATTTTTCGACAAATTTTAGTACCAAACTATACCAAAATAAAGCTCACATTCTAAGCTACAGGCTAGCAACGATTTAAACGTTCCCCTGCAATTGCTAAGCACAAACTGAACTAATGTTGTGGGGGTTGCGCAACTACATCAATTGATGTAGGCCGATAGGAGCGCTACTTGATGTAGTCAGCACTGAACGTGTTAAGCACTGAATATTCCATAAGTTTAATCACAAAACTTTCTTGTTTCCGTGAATCTAACATCCCTCAAAACGTTGTCTTGCACTAACCACCATTATCATTTACTGCTACCTCCCTACCTAATGAACATTATTGTAATTGTTTATTGTTATTAATGACAGAATTACGTCCAGGCTTTGCAGCGTAAGGTGATTGGGGGCGGCGGAGGAGTGGGGGAAAGCTCTACATTACAGTCCGACGCAACACATCTGACGATCCTGCCCGACGCAACGACTGCGCACTTCGACGACGATATACAGCTCGACCCGAGACTCCATTATCGATAGTACGGCCGTTAGCAACGCCCTCTGATGGTGAACTATCCACGTCCACAGCGAAACCGAGAGCTTCAGTTAACATGTTAGGCAGCCTGAATATGAAGGGATATTTAGCTTAAATATATTGTGTAAAACAGATTATACAGAAATTATTGCAAAATTGTATTGGAGGGAAGGATTGATACGTTTGTTTACCATAAGGGTGGATTTATGTCACTGCTACACCATAATCTTTTACATGCTTTAGCAAAGCAATTTTAAACGAGAACTAACTATAAGTACTTCTGGTATGGTATTGTAATCTTCAGACTTGCTTTGTATTTTGGTAAATCATTAAAATAACTGTAAAGTTTGTTTACAGAAATGTGAAATTCATAACGCAAAAGATGATATGTTTAAAAAAAAATTGTAAATTATTACAACGCAGACATTTTTTCCATTATATCTAGCAGGATCTTTATTATACATGATGTGTATTATATATTCCCATGGTTTATTGTGATATATCGGACAGTGTACTGTGTTGATTTTGTTTGATGTACATAAAATGTGTCCATTTGTTAGGTTAGTTTTGTATTATGTAAATTATTATCAAATCATTTATGCTTTGCTGTAACTCGTGCTTTGTATAGATATCAAAATTATCATATTTTAAGAGAGTAATTTCAGTTATAAATATTATGGAACTGAATAAACGGAAAAAATTGATTCAAATTCATACAAGTTTTTAACATTTTATTAGTAGAAGTCAGACAAATGGTCTTTGAAAAATATAATAAAAAAATAGAAAAAAGAAAAATAGTAAGTTTACATCACTTTTGGGGAAATCTGTAGCATAATGAACAAACCACTACAAATTGTAATTTCTAACACAAATACACGGGTTTGATAAAACTTTTATTGTAGCATGCATATTTTTGGCTGTGTTAGTATTATTGTAAATTACCTTTGAATATAGTAATATTAGAAGCAGGTTAGTGAATACATAATGTTAAGCTCACTTCGAGTTATTCTGTTGTGAATAACTATCTCAATTTTGTATTAGTTGCGGGCCATGTCAAATCTTGTATTTATTGTACAAAGCTGAACTGTATAAAATTAAGTAGTTGTAAATCATAGAATGATTTTTCTGTTCTTAAGTGAAAACCTCCTATACAGAAAGCCTATTGTGTGATTAAATAGGGTTTGTAGAGACAGACATGTCTACAAATAGTAAAAACAAAACAAGATTTAATTTCCTATTGGAACAGAGCTAAACAATATCCTATCTATCTATCTATATATTAATAGGCAAGCATGTTTCTTTAAAACCTTTTTTCTCAGCTCGTGTGTATCGTAGGGAAAATCTACGCATACCGTTAGAAAGCTATTTTCCTGTAGGTGTGCAGAATGCCTTTAAAAATTAAAATAGGCTAACAAATAAGCACAAAAAATGAATTTGAAAACTTCAAAAAATTAACATGGACCATATGAGTTGCCATGATGGTGACGAAATAACAACAAAATGTAAACAGAAAATCAAAACAAAGGTAAGAAATTCCAATCACATGTTTTATTTACAGTGTGGGGAGAAAATAGAGAAGTCTGTACATTAATTATTTTTGGTCGAGTTTCGACCACAGGACGACCACTAGTTAGTTTTAAATTGTGACAACTTGTATAATTTAAGTGTTGATTTTATGTATGAAATTAGTTTTAAGTAAAGGACTTGTGTTATTAAAACGTTTTGTTTGCACAAATTAAACATATTTTTTGTATTTGTGAAGAAAAAGCACACAAAACTCATTGCGTATTGATCATAATTTTGTAGATTTGTACATTTTGAAAGGTGCTCTATTGATGTGATTTCTATGGCCAATGTTATTGCATTTTTTCATTAAATTATATATATTTAACATAATGGTTTTGATTTTTCCTGAGTAAACTTTAGATGGAGGATAAGGTCTGTATTCTGGACCGACAGATATGTCATACTAAATTTTTCAGATTTTAAACTCACAACAAGATGCTTGTGACTAAAGCATAGTTGAATATTGAATAGGTTAAGAACTATAGTTGAACAATCGTCTTGGTGAGCGTCCGGGCTGAGAAATTAATTTACAAATACTAGTTGGATTGGTTCAATAAAAACTTCAGGGCCAATCACCTTGATAATTTAAACTAGGCTGTAAAAGCAAAACAATTCAAACTGTATACAAAAAATAGCTCAAAACTACACACAACGAAATGCACTCCAGAACTGGGTGGTGTGTAAGCGTTCTTTTGGTAACTTAGTCCACTGAGCTATAGACCTGTTTTTTCCCCCGGGCAGTGGCAGCAGCTGGACGCAACCCGGGTAATAATTTGTCACCCGGCAATGTGAAAATTATCATAAGCTCAATCAGTTGACTACAAATATTTGTCTGGCCAGGCGAGATCGTGTAGAGTGAAAGGACTGTAAGAAGAGCAAGCTAAGATTCTGACTACTAGGGTATATTCAGGCTCTACCGTGCTAGTATTCGGTAATAATTACTTTTCACCCACAAATCATATTTCATATAAAATAACATTTATTAGATCTTGAACACCTTTGTAACAGAAACTATAATAAATAGTATGGCTAAAAACAAAGTAGATGTACTTATTGTTAATATGGTAACACTGATTGATCATAAAAACACAATCTAATTGCATATACACATAACATTAATATACAACAAACTTGAACATCTGTATAAAGCCCTCATACACTAGGCAATTTGGTCACCCGTCGATGGGCGATTAGATTGCCGGCAATCATATCGTCGTTGGAAACACATTTTTTACCCAAGCTATCAGTCAGGCAATACGATGTGGCAATTTAAATTAGAGTGAGAACAGAGCATGTAGAGGTAAGCTGCTGCAGATGTAATAGTGTTCGTTCATTGTCGTGGAAATTATAAGAAGAACAAAGGGTTTGGCACAAAAAGTATTTTGAGAATAGGCTCAAAATTATTAGTTTAAGAAAGGCTGTGTAGTTGGGGTCTAGTGACATATCCCTTTTAAGGTCATTAAGTAAGGAAAATCCAGACCATTACAAAAACTACCTTTGAATATCTGAAAATCATTTACGTCACCTCCTGTGTTTAGTAGAGCCTTTTTATGGAAGTCACTTGCGTAGTGCAGACAATCAGCGCAGAAGAATGGCTTGTAGCTACGTTATAGCTGCGGGCAGGAGATTTGAAGATTTAAAGTGTTCTGCTGAAATTTCTTCACACAGTTTAGGAACAATAATTTCAGCAACTTGTGATGTCATTGTGAAAGTGCTGCAAAACCTAAAACTCACATGACACATCAATCAGACATCAGTGCAAATGCGCCGGGAGAATATACCTCAATTGTTCTGCCCCACAAACTTGGCAATCTAGTCGTCTGGGGATCTCCAAATCACTGCCAGGGAAAATCGAGCAATCAGGTGGGGATGACAAAATCACTGGCAATCCGATCAAAACACTCACATTGGGCGATATTTAGGCAATAAGGTTGCCGAAGATCTAATCTCCCATCGACAGTATGACCAAACCGTCTAATGTATGGGAGGCTTTAAGTTTCAAATGTAAACTTTGTCAATGGCATAATAAATCAGTCTTAGCTAACAGCAAATAACAATAAAAAGTAACAAAATACCATAATAATTAACATTACGAAAGCCACAAAAAATACTTAATCACATTCCTTGTTTTGGTGGGTAACTTAAATCCTACATTGACTCTCCAACTCAATAAACCTAACTTGACAACAATTGAATACAAGTTTTGCAGACTTATTAGTTAATACAACTATACACTTATTATTTGTACTGGAACTGGAATGTACAAAACCAGTCATTTGTTAACTTATGCTAAAATTTGTAATAAATATTTTGAAATGAAAAACTAATCCAAAGGTTAAGTTTTGTTTAAGTTACTCAAAACACATCAAGAATAAAATTGGGGTTTTGTGTTTGCTGAGTATTCTATTTAATTTATTTAATTATCAAAAAATACTTCTATGGCAAAACATTTTAAGTATACATACCAACTAGGGAAGAATGGCTTGGTGGAAAGAGGCTCATCCCCATAAGTGGTGTAGGATGCTTTTACTGATGGGACTGGTAAGATTAGGGGGTCCTGGTGCAGGCGTGGTTGTAAACCTGAAGGAGCTGGCATCCTATGGGAGTGCACCCAATAGTTATCCAAGAGGAAGACACTGCTATTTTGGTTTGTGCTCCAGAAAATCTCAGTAAGGAGATCAGAGACAACAGAATTTGTATTTACACTAAAAGTGCAACTTTGACAGCTCTCAAACTCAAATGAATTTAACTCACTCGTGTGGGAATGTCTTGCCTCCATGTCAGTATTGGGTTGGAGGAATGATTTGCTTCTTTGAGTGGCTGGACATTCAGGAATTGAAGTTACTGAAGATGCTAACAGACAGGCAATTTTGCTTCGGCAGCATCTTTGTTGGGTCTGCCACCTTTCTGAGGCGTCTCCCTTGTCATGGCTGAAGCAGCCCCTTCTAAGGTCTTTGCACACATTCAAAACGGGCATTCTAGGGCTGGATAGGCGAAGAATTAGACCAACAGTGGAACTGATTACTGGACACGATCGGTTCAGAAAACATCTACAATGGATAGGCGACATATAAGGCGTCAATAGATGCCTTTAATTATATTTATTGTTCTTACTGTGTGCTTGCATCAATTACTCCAAAATCGTGTAATTTAAATTGCTGGGATTTTTCATAGATCTTTTCTTGTAGGTATAAGCCGAAAAGAGTTCAGAGAATCATTTTGAGAGCCTGATATTGTAGGAGAGGCCGAAAGCAGAAGGCTTAGGTGGGTCGGCCATATCTTGAGGTACCCTTAGTACCCTAAGGGGAGATCCGAGGGGAATGAGACCAGTAGGAAGACCAAAGGCCAGGTGTCCAAAGGTGGGATCAAGTCCGGAAAAAATATTGAAAAAAATGAGACTAATAGAGGAAGATTCGGAGGACCGAGAGAACTGGCGACGTGTTGGCGAGGCAAGTACCAGCTTGGGTACAAGATGCCATGGCAGTAAGTAAATAAACCGAAAGGTAATTTAGCGTTAGCATAATTTTGAGGGTCTTCGTTAACAAGTTTAGTTTAAAACAGGCTACTATAGTTTAAGATCAATGTTTAAAGTGTTTGAGAAAATACTGATATTGGATATTACCATTGTAAATCCAGCATTGGTTTTAGATGTTACGTATACTTCTTACCCAGTTGTATAATCTGCAATATAAATTATTGTGTTTCACAACAGCACACTGAGGTTGACTCAATTATTTTCTCTAGTTTAAAGGTATATTTTACGTTGTGAGCTTAGTTCTCAAATTATAGGTCTACTACCCGAGCATAATAAATAACTTACAAAAATTGTTTTTAAGTTGGTTAAACAGAAAATAAGTAGCAAACATCAACTCTCCCCACGCACCAGACAGAAAACCCTTGAACAATTTTCTCCAGCTTAAATGCTAAATCTATAACGGATAATTTAATACAATATTATGTAACTTAGTGACCATCAACAATATTACATAGCGTACAGTTTATAATACTGTATATTTCAAAACATTTGATCCTGAAGCCGTGTTTAAACAAGGCCAGCAAGCAGACTGGTTATCTCAGGTAACTTAAAACACATTAGATGCCTTTTGTAAACAAAGCTAATATAAAACTATAAATCATCTTACTCATACGTGAGACGAACCATCGAAATAACAAACGAAATCCATGACTTAGGAGGAAGTACTGTTGGCACTATGTAGTTCAGTTTTCAATGTTATGGCAAGAAACCTATAACAAAGTAGAAATTAGTTGAATGAAACCAACTTTAACTAGCATCTAAAGCAGGATCATCGTAAGACTCAGGTACCTTTGAATGTCTTCACTCGTCCCATTGTCATCAGAAGAATCTTCCAAGTCCACTGATTTAGGAGGGAATCCCTGCCTGAAAACAATCAAACAAATCAGTGTTCAGTTGATGATTATAAGTCTGATATTCTTGATCATCAGATTTGAAATAAAATGGCCCTGATTAAATCTGATCTTATTTAAATTCAAATTTAAAACATCTTTATTTTCCTTACATGTACATGGGTACAAAAATATTGTCAAATATAAATTAGCGCCTCAGGTATATCAATTTAAGTACTAAAATATCATTGAACATTTATTGAATGATGTATGAGGCCCTTCCTCGTACATCATCCTCTGCTATTCCTACTATCCTACTATTTTCCTACTATTTTTATCCTATTTTGTTTACTATCCAATTAACTACATGGATATCCCAATGACTCCAAAGTTGATCTTGACAGATGAGATTACTTTTTTTTAAATTTTTTTGTCTGATTTAAGTTGAATCACGTTCTGGACACAGATTATATTCAATACCTCCTCTCTGTTCTTAGAATCATTTATGTCACTCAAAAACCAATACTGAACATAGCCTACATTGACCCGTGTGCAGATTTACCGAGCTTAAAAAATATCATATTGAAACGTCACTCCACTATACCACTTTCCGATGAGTGGCAAACAATCGGACAGAATCAAAAGCTAATGTGGTCAGACAGCTCGGAATGTAAAGTGAAGATGTCAAACAACTCTGCAATATTGTGTTTGGCTTACAGGCTCACACAGTTTTTCTGTTAGAAAACAGTTTTCTTATCATGCCTTGTAGACGCCTATGTTTGGCTTAAAATGTGCATAGGTTTTAACAAAAGTTATCATTCTAATCTACTTAGGTACTTGTTAGTAAAAGAAAAAATGGGCGTTTATTCAAAAATAAAATCTAACTGTTAGTCGTACCGTGTGTTGTAGTTTAAATAAAGGAAGTAGTAATTCATTTGTAAAAATAAAAGATAAAATTAAGAGTTGTACAAACGTTTTATTTCTATTCATTTTTTAGCATAAAACACTGCATTATGGATTACGTCTTACCTCTCACGTGTAAATCTCACCACTGAAGTCTGGAAGCCTTCTGTCTCATCTTTAAACACCTTCCTAGAAAACAAAAACATAAGCATTATTCCATGGGGATTAATTAATTGTATTCTAATAGTCAAATAGTTCACATGAGGCAAGGGGAAACACGACAGAGCCGAATTCAGGAATCTTATATACTAAAAAATCTTTTGCAAAACTTATGACAGCTAGCCTGACCATACTACTGGACCGAATTACACGCAGTTGGTACCAAATGAAAGATCTTTTCCTGTAGATGTGCAGAATCCCTTTATAAATTAAAATAGGCTCAAAAATAAGAACAAAAAAATAATTTTAAATTAAAAAAAATTAACATGGGCCTTATGGGTTTGCCATGTTGGTGAAGAAATAACAACAAAATATCAACAGAAAAAACAAAACAAATTCCAATCACATGTTTTATTTACAGCGTGGGTTGAAAATAGAGAAGTTTGGATATTACATACTTTAGGTCGAGTTTTCGACCATGGGGCAAGCTCTCGTTTTCTTTCAATCTTCTTTCTCATCGTAAACCAGTTATGCACCTCGTGTTCGGACCACTTGGCCAAAATACATAAATGTTGTTTTCGTATATGTTTTGTTTTGTATTATGTATTTGATGTGGTCAGTAATCATGATGTCCTTGTAATGAGTGGTGATGGATGACAATGTCCTGAGATCACAGGAGATTTTCACAATTTTGATGAGACACAATTCCAACACTACACTGGATATATGTAAAAGTATTGCGAGTTAGACTAGACTTTAGATGTGGGAAAGGGTATAGAACGAGAGAGATACAGCTAGCGTCAGCTAAGCTGGCTCATGGTGGCCTGTGGGCCTGGCGCGGCACCATAGGCGGGGGGAGGGTGGAAACTAGCTTAAGACCGTTCTGAGAACATCGGACTGTCAGACGTGAGGTCCCGCGTTCCGACCGGGCAACTCTGCGAACATCTCGGCTGACTCACGGGGTTGACGTCCTAAACAAACTATGACTAATAGAGAGGGCGCTGTTATGACAAATCTTGCACGTTCCTAAGCACTGTGTCTACTCAGTAGTGAGTTTTGCTTGTGCAGTGTCACAGTGGATCGTGAAGTGGACTGTTTTCATAACGAAACGTGTGTGAGTTTTTTTGTCATGGCAGAATTTAAATCGAAAGTAGGGATTGGTGGTAAGGTTTTAAATAGTCAGAGTAGGGAAATCGTGGCAAATGTTTATACATTTATGAAAGAGGAGTGCAAGAGCGGCATTACAATACCACTACAGAAGGCGAGGGAGCGGACCGCAGCAGCAACCGGTGTATCTCAACGCTCTGTTACCCGGATAAACAGCGAACTAAACGATTTAAAGGTGAGTGAGGATGATAATAAATCTTTTTTAACACCTCACAAAACAAAAAGGAAGAAAAAGCCGATTACTGGCCTAGACCATTTCGATGAATGTGTGGTTCGTAGGACTGTCTATGAATTTTACATAACAGAAAAAAGACTGCCGACGTCAAAACTGTTGCAGAATTCTCTTAAAGAAAAGTTGAACTTTCAGGGAAGTCAATCAAGTGTTCGGAGGATTTTGAAAAAATTAGGATTTTCCTGGAAAAGGACACAGAATAATCGGAGGATTCTAATTGAAAAATCTGAGATTAGGGAAAAGAGAATAACTTATCTCCAGTCACTCAAGCGATTCAGGTCGGAAGGGAGACCCATCGTGTACATGGATGAAAGTTACGTATGTTCAGATCACGTATCTGGGAAAATGTGGTCGGATGGATCAAATAATGTTTTGCATACGCCCGTGTCCAAAGGAGAAAGACTGATAATAGTTCACGCTGGAGGGGAACAGGGATTCGTCCCAAACGCTTTGGCCATGTGGAAGGCAGGGCAAAAATCCGGCGACTACCACGACAACATGAACAACAAAAATTACATGCAATGGGTCATAAATCAACTGATACCAAACTTAAATCCTAACTCTGTATTGGTTATTGACAATGCGAAGTACCACAACAAGCAAATTGATAAGGCCCCGACTTCCAATAGTAAAAAAGAAGAAATGACAAAGTGGCTTTCCGAGCACAACATTTCCTACGATCCAACAATGCTAAAACCTCAACTTTACAAACTCATTCTTCAACACAAACATCGATATGTCAAATATGTCCTGAATGACATCTTGGAAAGGGAAGGCCACAGTGTACTGCGTCTGCCCCCGTATCATCCTGATTTGAACCCAATCGAGATGATATGGGCAGATGTAAAAAACTATGTTGCATCACACAACACGACCTTCAAATTGTGCGATGTGAAAAAGCTTTGTGAAGAAAAGTTTTCTTCGATATCGCAACAGGATTGGGAATGTAAGTGTAGGCACGTTAAAAATGTGGAAAATGAATACGCCGCCAAAGAGCCAGCCATCGATGAAATAACGGAAAGTTTTATCATTAATGTAGACGACAGCACCAGCGACGACGAGGGAACGAGCGACTCCGATGAATTCAGCGATATGTCTGGGATTGAGGAGTTATGATGGACCAACTCCTGATGGACCCATGGGGTTTGTGGCAGTTTAGTTCTATTAAGTTATTTCTTGTAAGAACATTTATTTGAATAGTTTTTTAATGTACGATTTTAGAACAATTACTAATTGACCATGCGTTGTAGTTATGTTCATACGTGTGTATATAATGTATAAGCTTTTTATACTGCCTTTTAATTTGAAGTACAAATTTTTAATTTATTATTTTTCATAATTTTTTAGTGGTTTACCAGAGTTTTTTACTGTGATTTCAAGTGTAAATTACGGTACCCGTGTTTTCAGAACATTAGCGTGGATTATTTATAGTGTAAATACGAGTATCATCTATTTGCTTAGTATTTTTGTTATTATAGTTATAATTCTAAAGTAACCTTTTATTGTCTGTTAAGTATCGGTACCCAGAACATTAACATGGATTAATTAATTATATAGTGTGCATATGTAATACGTTTCTTGTAATATTGTTAGTGTTGTTATTATAGTTATAATTATTGTAAAGTACCCTCATATTGTCTTGTTTTACTGTGGTTTCAAGTATAGCTACTCAGAACATTAACATTGATTAATTAATTATATAGTGTGCATATGTTATCCGTTTCTTGTTATACAGTATTGTTATTATTATAGTTATAATGATTGTAAAGTACCCTCATATTGTCATGTTTTACTGTGGTTTCAATTATTGGTACGTAGAACATTAGCATGTATACATTATTTAGTGTAGGCCTAATGATTTACATATTTCGTGTTGTATTGTTAAAATTGTTACAATTTTACCATGTTTATTAAATGTACAGAGTTGTATTGATGTGTTTTATAGTGTTATATATATTTTTTATATACGGTTTATATACCGGTTTGTTATAGTGTTTTATTATTAATATTGTAATTAGTTTAACGTACTGTAAATATGACGTGTAATATTATATACAAATTTGTGATATTCTTACTTATAGATTAATCCTGTATTTTTACGATGAATGTGAATATGTAAATATTATAAAAATGAGTTTAAAAAAATAAAAAAGCCGGAAGGCCGCTATAAATATTTTTTGAGTGGATCTGTAATATCAACCGGATCATTCATTTAATATGTAAGCGGCTAATATACACAACGTGGGGAATACAACTTCTTTGGCTCGGTCAAGAATAGGCAAAAAATAGGTAAGCCCACAACATTATTTAAACAACTTTGTTTAAATTTCATTGATGGTGATGATGAGTTTATAACATTGAACATATTATTGCAACCATTTTCCGTCACTATTAGCTCTATTAGTAAAACAAATCATAAAAAGCGCAACCTAAGCACCCATGCTCCCTAGTTACATTAACAACTGTTCATAAAAAGTGTTTAGAAAGTTTAGTTTATTAATTGTTAATGGATGCAGTGCATACAACCATACAACACATCTAACATTTTGTATGCCGTCTACTGAAGCGCCTTCAAGAGAGCAGTGAGGGCAGTAGACGCAACCCGCATGACGGCAGACAATATTTTTAACCTAGGCTAGTACAGAATTTCTATCTATCGGTCACGCGCCAGCTTAGCTGACGCTAGCTATAACTATAATTGTTGAGGGGAACTATACTTGTTAAGTACTAAGAGTAAAAACACACTTATGACGGGCGATGGCACTGACAAATTCTAGTACCTAGTACAGTGGAGTCCCGATAATCCGAACTTCGGTAATCCGAAAGTCCGCTTAATCCGAAACCAAAAAATAAATTAAAAAAATTTTTTTGTGAATTTTTTAAAAATTTTTTGATTTTTTTTTAACTTTTGAAATTTTTTTGAAAACTTTTGAAATTTGTTTTAAAATTTTTGAAAATTTTTTGAAAACTTGAATTTTTTTTTAAAACTTTTGAAATTTTTTTGAAATTATTTAGGAATTTTTTTAAATTTTTGTTTATTAAACTTTTAACACAGTTAGCTGTACCTCGTCAAAGTATTCTGTAGCGGCCGGGCAAGATAGACTTTTTTGTTGAGTATTTTAGTATTCACAATTTTTGTTATTAACATTTTTTATTTTCGTCCAGGGTTCCAATCCCTTCAAATCACAAATGGATTTTATGAAGTGATAATGCTGCAGCCACTAGGTCTAAGTAATCTAAAAAACAATCCCAAAAGATTTCAAAAAATAAAAAAAAATTTCAAAAATTTCAAAAAAGTAAAAAGTTTTTTTAAAAAATTTTAAAAAAGTAAAAAAAACAAAAAAAAACGTTTAATCCGAAATATTCGGTAATCCGAAATGGGCCCGGTCCCAACCATTTCGGACTAAAGGGACTCTACTGTAGTAAAACCTTTGTTATTATCTAGAAAGCTTTATTTGTAGTAAAATCTATTGATACAAAACATTAAAGACACTTTCAGTACCTTTTCATGGCCATTCTATGGCGATCAATTTCCCTCCTTAAAAGCTTCTCTTCCTCAGACATATTTTGCCTGAAATGAAAATGAATAATGACAAGTGTGCAACCTTTATAGAAAATCTTGAAAATGGACAAATTAAAATTTAAAAGTGTGATGGGGGCCTGTACAGTAACATAATAATAATACTGGCCAGCCTGTACAGTTTTAATCAGTTTATAATTTTTATTCAATTTTAATTGTTTTTCAACATAACAAATTGTAATTATTGTGACAGTCTTTTAAAGAATCTATCAATATACCACAATATATATTTATCATTGATGATGTGGTTGCATACTAATGACCTGACGAAGTTCTAAGGAACTAAACTAATTAATTGTCATACAAACAACTGTGGTTGGTTAAGGTAATTATTTTATTTTATCATTTAAAATAGGCCCAAGTAATAGAGGGCTATTAAAACATTCTTCATACTGTTTTAATGACAAACAGGCATACCTCTTGAGGGCCATTCTCTTCCGCTGGTCTTCTCGAAATGCCTGTTTTTCCTCCTCAGTCATGTTCTCTCTGAAACATTGTTAAGGGTCTGATCATACTTTTGTATGGTTACAGGACACTACTAATTAGCTTCTGAGGCTTTCAAGACTGTACTTTAGAATTAAGTTGTCAATTAAGATTCCTTAATTTACTGTTCTGATTTTAATTGTTTCTTAGTATTTAATCTTTATAATCTAGGCCATCATGAGTGTGGACACATAAAATCATATTCTTCAAATTAATAATTAGTTATTTGAGCAAAGATCAAAAAAGCATGATGAAGTTGTAGCTTTGAAATCAACACAAGTAAACAAAAATTGTGGCAAATCTTATCCACTTGATCTTTATCATACCTTTTCATTGCCATTCTCTGCCTATGATACTCTCTCTCAGCTGCTTTTTCTTCCTCAGACATGTTTTTTCTGTAACATGATCCAAATATTTTACTACAGTTGAGAGCCAACTGTTCAAAATAATTAAGGACTGGAGTGTTGGCCTGAACAATTTGATTTGAGTAAACGGCCAAGCATATTTAAGGAGATACTTGGCCACACCAACAAAGCCCCTCCATCTCTCACAACGAACTTTAATTGATCAAATTTCACACGTTTTCATGTATTTTTGTCTAGTTTTGACTGTGCAACACCCATCCAATAGCAATCTTAAGGTCTCAAAGAAGGCGGGATCTTCTTTCACAATAGTCACAACAAAATGATATAGAATAATTTTATGTTAAACATACATCTTAAAATGGCAATTTTGTGCTGGTAATTTTACTGAAACATGGACTCTTCCTCATCGACTGATTATTCAAAATAGCTTATTTTATTTTATAGACTTTTGTTACTGAAAATACTTTAAATGTCCTAATTTACAACAATGTTAAGAACATGATTTAACTACAATTCTAAATGACTAATCATTATACCTGTAACAGTGCCTACCTTTTCAGAGATTTTCGTAATCTATTTTCTTCTCGCATTGCTGCCTTCTTTTCTTCCGACATACTTTTTCTGAAAATGTTATTCATTAATTTTTTTTTACTGAAATTATAAGATGTTTTTATATTTTGGTTTCATTTATAGTATTTGAAAAGTTACCTAACCCCTATGGAAAACCCCAAGAAACAATACAAGAGTGCAAAAAAATTCCCAAAAGTTCTACCAACTAAAAGAGAATGAAAAGAATTTGCATGGAAGGATATTACTTTGGATTTCCAAAAGTCTATTAATAATTATCGCGGTGATCAGAATTCATTAAAATGTTTTCAGCCAGATAACTTACATAAAGTCGGACAGTGAGCCTTCCTCTATTTATGAAAATGAACTGTTTGCTGTAAATACTTGTATCACATAGGTAACAGTTAATTGATTTTTACAAAAGCCAGTTTTTTACTTTTGGATATTGAAGTAGAAATCGCATCTAACTGCCACCAATTTTGCATTCCAGAAGACCTTAGTTGAATGAGCTACAGTCTAAAAATCCCTTTTCTCACTTAGTTTTCCTAACTGAGGTACCCCATTAGCGCCGACTTAAGAGCGTTACTCGTACGGCCGCTGCAGGCCCGTTGGCCGACTTACGAGAGCCGCTTGTGTCACCGCTACACAGCGTCACTAGTCATTTAATTATTATTATTTTCCCCCTCCTTTTGTTTCTACTTACTTTTATAATGTTTATAAATATCTTGCCTCTTGATTTGCGTATTTACTCATTTATTTTAGCGAAAAACAATCAATTTTGTGTTGCCATGGTAACCAGATATCACAAAAATAAGCTGCGGTAAGGTAAACAAACAAATTTGTTTCTACTTTATTACTTATAAAAGTACCCAACTTTTGATTTTTCTACGTAGGGAATCAATTGAACTTTATAATACTATATAGTAGTGTTATTTGGTGTCTGAATTATTTGTACTATTTGGAATTTGCAAATCAAGTCTACTTTCAAAAAATTGTTTTTAAAATCTTTGTTTTAATAATCCTTGTATTTTTTTTTTAGTTTTACACTTTGACTATTCAATTACCACTTTTCTGTAGACAATTTTACTGTGAACAAAATGGTGAAAGAATTATTAATTTATTACCTAAGGTTTTCTTTCTATGGCAATTAGAGTAAAAGTCTACAAATTCGGTAACATTAATTGCCGACAGAGGGTGCTGCAGGCAGCGCATTAATTCCTTCGTCAATGGTTTAGTGATACCTGAAATATGACGCAACTTACAGTAACTCGTGCTACTAGTTAGACTTGGTTGGACGGTTGGGATTTACATCAGCACTCTCTTTTAGTGGACAATCTCAACTACAGACATTTCTTTAGAAAAAACTGGCAACATTTTTATCATGGGATGGAATGAGAATTTGTATCAATACTATAGTCAAAGGTAACAGTAATACAGTGACTACCTTTGAATTTGATGTGGGTGGATTGTGGATCACAAGACATTCAGCAATTTAGAATTGAAACTTCTTGATGAATTAAAATTTAAACTGACACTTTACACGGCCATGAAGAGGTCTAGTATTTGTTTAATTACTTTCCCAAGGTAAGATCAAATATGTTGACATTTATGAAAAGTAATGTATAAAATTTCATCAACCCTAGTGCAGATTAGAACTTAGGATTTTTTTTATAACGACAAGAATACCTCTTTAATGCAATTTTCCTTCGAGCAATAGCTCTCAATTCTTCTTTCTTTTCTTCTGACAAGTTTTGTCTGGAAAAAATAATGTAATTTGTAAGGAGTTATAAGTAATATGGTTATCTACATCACCTGTAATCAAATATGAGTAAACTATCGGGACATAGTCTCATGGACATAAGGTCCAGGATGTAACATAGCCTAGGGTTTTAGAATTTTTTCCCTGTAATAAGCTCAGGTAGACACAACTCTAAAAACAACTGTTGTCTTAAAGGGCAATAAGAAATATAACTCACAGTTTTGCAAAAGTTATTTTCCCATTTGGGCAAAAAATCTGAATAAATTACATTTATCGAATCTGCACTAATTGAAATGAGGTATTTGAACAAATAAATAAGACCCAAGTGAAAAGCCTATAAATAATAGCAATTCTTTATAGTTACCTATATCTTCTTACATATTCAGTGTGTCTTTTAGCAACTGTTAATCTTTGTATTTGTTCATACCTAAAACAAAGAAACTGAAATAAAATCACACTGTTTAGTAAAACTTACTATCTACATGGATCATTAATGCCGTTACAATACAGCAGAGTTACTGAAAAAGGTGTCTGTAATTCAAATATTCCACCACAGCGTTGAAACTAATTTTTTCGTAATAAAGTAGAACTGTGGTTGTCTGGAGCCTTGACTAAGCCAGTTGCAGTTTAACGGAAGTGCTTCGAGTGACACTCTAAAATTTAAATCAGGTGTTTTCAAAACACTGTTTTGTAACCAAAAGATAACAAACAGCTTTTTTCCTATAAAATCAATGTTTAAGTATGATTGAAATGTATTGGACTTTAACAGAACTTAGCAAGATAAAATGTGCACTGCATATTTGAAGTTTAAAATCAACTACAGAGCTTGTAGAATGTGTTGAGGTTCAACTGATGGACAACCCCCCATCGCCAATGTTTAGGGAGTTGAGAGATTAAGGAAGTATTGTATCTTGACTGAGTTATAGTCGACTCTCTTATTTGGACTCCACGAGACCGACGCCAGTTCTGATAGCGGTTATTCCCCTCAAATGATGTTCCCTAAACCTTGTTAAAATTAAGAATATCTAGTGCATAGACATCCCATCTATATGGACCAGCTGTGGCTAATTTTTTGTTATAAAAAAAAATGTAGATGTGTGAGCCAGTCACAGAATGCGCTAGGACTAAAACTCTATTTTCTACCTTATTTTTTGTTGCTGGCCAAGTTGATGGGTCAAAACAGTTGCCAAAGTTTTACAATAAGTCATTCCATTAGTTAGAATTGTTATAAAGATTGTGTATTTGACAGAAATCAGTAATTTAGATCAGCACAATCTGTCGGTGGCTCACATTAACTACGACGATTATGGTTAAAAAACTGGCTACAAATTTAACATGAGGATGGAATGTCTAGTTGTATTAATAGTCAAAGATACTATATAAGCCAATAATGATTGTTGTATATGTAGTAAAACTAGACACTTTGGGATAATTGTAAACACAAAACACCAAACTGTACATCAATGTTTAGTAAAAATGTTCAAAATCATCACAATTTAGAGTATTGCATGAACATGATTAACGATAAATGTGCGAACTACATAAATCATTCTAAAACTAACACAAATAATTTACTTAAATTCGATAGAGCATTGTATTTGGACAAGTGACCACTGATTGAAAATCTTTCCCACGAAAAAAGTCATTTTAGTAATAGCAACTTCCTGCCGATCCAGTCTAGTTAAACTGAAGAGTTGGTAAAAATGGTTCAGTTAAGAGATGTCACTTCTGCCAAGTTTAGTTTGGTTAAACCAATGTGTTGTTAAACCTTGTTGGTGTAAATTCTTTTTTTTCAATTAATGTTAATCTTTACACATGGTTCTGTTATTAAATTCGTGACACTCTATGTGACTAGGAGTTGCACAAGTTAAATAATTGTTCTTCTAAATGTAGCCTTATATTTATTTAAGAATACAATAATCTAAAAACGACTGTTTACTTACCATACAATAATCGGATATTAGGTGCAGTAGCCTAATTAATTTACAGTACCTACTTTAATGTGAAATTGCGTAAACTTTTTGTTTTTAGGCATGGAATCAAGCTGAATTATCAAGGTTCTACAGTATTGATTCCTATAGAGCATATCAACTCAAGGCTAACTGAAAGGGTGACTTATTGTAAGCTATAGCACAATTTATGTCATACCAACTATCAAATAAACAAACCAAAGGGTGAAAACAGAATTTAGATGTGTGTCTCATTCAACTGTTCGCTTCAAGAGACCATTGGTTTCATATGGACGGATATCTACTACAAATAAATTATATTTTTTATCATGGGCCTACTAAATAGTTTTTTTTTAATGTGTATATTCTGTTAATTCTCGTAATATAGGGCCGGAACTTGCTAGAACATACAATTGAGTATTTTTGGAGATAAACATTCCAATATCAGTAATGTAACTTATCCTGATCCATAACAGTGCCTACCTTTTCAGAGAATTCCGTAATCTGTTTTCAGCTCGGATTGTTGCCTTCTCTTCCTCAGACATATTTGCTCTGAAAATTAAATAATGTCATGTTTTTACATTTTGGTTTCATTAATAATATTTCAAAACACAAATCCTATGATAAAACTGTACTAAAAGAGGCTGGCAAATAATTTATATAGTTTTAGACTTTAAAATTCTAGAACTGACAACTATAATAACCCCATCGATTTTAATGTCTGGAGATTTTTCAGCTATTGAAGTCAAAATATTTAGGTCAGTAAACTTCCTTTTTGTTAAAAAAAAAGATGTTGTTTGCTGTTAAGAGTCTTATCACACCCGCAATAACTTGGGATTTGAACAATAGTCCTAGCTTTATTACAATTAACATGTAGAGTAAACAAATATTCAGACCACCAATGTCCGAGCAAAGCAAGAAGATTGATGTCAGTTACTATTGTTATTAGAGGTGGTAAATATCTCCATCACTCACAACTGACCGTTGTGGATTGGATCACAGCGCAACCAACAATCAAACAGGATTATGTTCTGGACGTAAAACTGTTTCTAACCGTTCCTCTCCAACATAAGGCCAAACATTTTGAAATAGGCTTCCCTCTTGGATTCTAACAACCATTTGGAACTATGAAGAAATTTGTAATAGGCAAGTATAATAGATACCTTTTTAGAGCAAGTTTTCTTCGAGCAGTAGCTCTCAATTCTTCTTTCTTCTCTTCTGACATGTTTTGTCTGAAAAAATATATTTCCTGTGTAGAGACGAGTAAAAAGGCTTTCCATATCACTTATCATCAAAGATTAAGACACAGTTATGAAAAACACATTGAAGGTTAGTTAGTCTTTAGACCCAGCCTTACAAAAAAAGAACGGCTGGGTGTACCTAAAACACCATTTCAACTCTTCAAATCATCCCAACCACACAAAGAGATCCATCTCCTACAGCATGGCCTCAAGAGGGACTCGCCTAATTTCTGACCACGAAAATAAAAAACATACATATAATAATACATAAAATAACATATAATAATCAGCTGCAGAAAGTGTTTGAAACCCCAGGCTGCCCTAGGAACCTTATACAATCCCAAATACAAGCAGCACAATCCAACAAAAAGGAGAATAATATTAACAACCAAGACCAACACCTAAATTTAATAACTAACTATCACCCTGGCCTACAATCTCTAAACCCTCTTCTGAAATGGCTTCAAAATCCTCGAGCCTAACCAATAATCTTCTCCAAAAACCTCCATCCCTAGTAGTATATAGACAAACTCAGAATTTAAAAAAAACGTACTAGTTCATCCTATACTACCCGACACTTCAATATCCCCAACAGAAAATCCCTAGTAATGAGAAAATGTGCAAATCCTGCAACTTTCACAAACCAGTAGAAACGTTCTCCAGCTTTCCACAATAGACAGAACAGAATAAAAGGACACCTCAACTGCAACTCAGAAAATCTGATTTATAAATTGTAATGTACCCAATGCCAGTACAGTATAGTAAAAACAATGGTGTAAATATATATGTGTATATAGAGTTTATAATTTTTAGTTTACACAAGATAAGTGTTGGCAAGCCTGACAGACATTAAAAACAGTGCTAGAACTGTAACTGCCACTCTACCTCTGAAGAAGCCCCTGAAAGGGGTGAGATATTAGTTAAATTGTGTTACTTTTATGTGTCCTATTAACCTCCTGGGACTCTTTATTGAGGTGATTTAGTTGTGTATCCTTCCTTTCTCCTTAATAAACAAACAAGAGGTGTAACTCCGGTACGGTAGCCACTTTTTTATCTCAGAGAGAACCAAATTGATATTTTTTTTTAAGAAATATGCCTTATGTTACATCCTAAATAGTCTACCTTTACTTATTGCTTATTTATTCTTTAACTATTATCAGCAGGTTATAATGTTTACTTGTTCACTTTGTTTTTAATTTGTGTTGAATAAAGTTGGTTAAAATTGTACTTTGACAAATACATTTATTAATTGTTCTAATTACATACAGAAAAATTTGGTGACGATGGATGTGAGTACAAGTAATTCAAATACCTCTCAAAACATTCAAATGATTAACTCAGCATTGATTGGACCCTTTAATGAAAGATATGAAACATGGGAAATGTATATAGAAAGACTAGAGATATCATTCATTTATAACAACATTTCGGAAGATAAAAAGAAAATTACGTTACTTCACTGTATTGGATCAGACACTTACAGTAAACTTAGGGATATATTGCATCCTGTATCACCTATAACTAAATCCTATGCTGAATTAGTTCAAACTCTTAATTCACATTTTACACCGAAACCAAATGAAGTATCAGAGACATTCAAATTTCATTGTAGACACCAATATGAAGGAGAAAACGTCTCAAAATTTTCATTGGATCTTAGAAAGTTGTCTAGATATTGTAATTTTGGCACATTTCTGTCAAAAGCCCTGAGAAACCAATTCATACTCGGACTAAGGGATGAAAAAATACAGACAAGATTAATTACTCTAAGTGAAAGTGATTTGAGTTTTGAAAAAGCTGTAGACATGGCTCAAATAATTGAAAAGGCTCAAAAAGATTCAATAACAATCCAATCAAAATTCAATCATGAAAACAATGAATTGCCGGTTAACTTAAATGTTGTACAACAGAAAAGTTTTCAAAAACCTAAAAACAGTAGGCCTACCAATCTTAAACAATGTTACCGTTGTGGAGAGTTACATGAATACATATCTGAATGCAAACACAAAAATACAACATGTAACTTCTGTAAAAAAAACAGGGCATCTAGCAAAGATTTGTTTTAGGAATCCTAATACACCTATCAAATTGCAAAGACAAAATAAGTCTACATTTAACACTACCGGTACTTCAAGAAATGTAAAACAAATAACAGTTCAAAGATCAAAGTGAAATATTTCTACAACAAAATATGAACAATTCTGTTGGATCCCTCTATAAGGAAACTAATGTTATTGACATTTGTTCTATGAATACATCAGAAGATAAATTTACGAAAATTATGTTAAACATAAAAATAAATGGCAAACCTATTCAGTTTGAACTAGATACAGGAGCAGGGGTATCTTTGATGTCAAAAAGTAACTTTTCCAAGTTTTTTCCAAAACACAGACCTTTAATGAATCCAGGCATAATCTTAAAAGATTTCAACAAAAATGAATTTGTTCCATTGGGTAAAACCATTGTTCAGGTTGGTTACGGTAACCAAACCAAATATCTTCCATTGTATATAGTCGATGGTAATAGAGATACGATATTTGGTAGGGAATGGCTGAGATCGATTAAAATAAATTGGTCAGACATAAATAACGTTCACGGAGCTGACTTGAATAGAGTTAAACGCTCAAATCCCAAAGTACACAATATTTTAATGGAATTTAAATGCATATTTGAACCAAGAGTTGGAAGTTTCAAAGGGGGAGAAGCACTTCTTAACTTAAAGCCTGACACTACACCAGTTTTTAAAAAAGCTAGACCACTACCTTATGCTTTGTTACCAAAAGTTAGTGCAGAAATCGACAGACTAGAAAAAGAAGGTATAATTACAAAGGTGAATCAGAGTTCTTGGGCTACTCCAGTTGTACCGATTATGAAGGCAAATGGGAATATCAGACTGTGTGGAGACTACAAAGTAACCCTCAATCCCCATTTGGTAATACCAGAACACAACATGCCCCGCATTGATGATATTTTGGCCAGAATGGGTAATTCGACTAAATTTACAAAGATTGATATATCCAAAGCTTACCTACACATGCCAGTGAAAGAAGAATACAGAGAATTGCTCACAATAAATACACATAAAGGTCTATATCGAGTAAATTGTCTACCATTCGGAATTGCAAGTGCACCTGCTATTTGGCAATCAGCAATGGAAAATATTCTACAAGGTATTGATGGTGTTGATGTTTTCTTTGACGATGTCAAAATAACAGCCCACAGTGATGAAGAACATTTGAAAAGACTCCGTGCTGTATTAAATCAATTCAAAGACAACGATTTACACATTAATGTTTCTAAATCTCAATTCCTTGTACCAGAGATTGACTTTCTTGGTTACCATGTCTCGTCAAAGGGAATAAGTAAAAGTAAACATATTACTGAAGCAATAAGAAACCTGAAGAGACCAAGTAATGTGAAAGAAGTTAGACAAATCCTTGGGTTGATAAGTTACTATCGAAAGTTTATTCCAAACTTAAGTGAAAAGATGCAAGCCATTATGAATCTCACAAGAGCTAATGTACCTTTTAATTGGACTGAAGAATGTGAACGTGATTTTCAATTGGTGAAGGAGGAAATGATGTCAGAGAATATACTATGCCATTCCACACTTACCACTCATTCTAGCAACAGATGCTGGTCAATCTGGAATTTCGGCAATTCTTTCTCATGTGTTTCCGGATGGAAACGAAAGATCTGTTGCATTTGCTTCCAAAATACTATCACAAACACAAAAACAGTACAGTGTCATACAAAAAGAAGCCCTGGCAATTTATTTTGGAGCTAAACACTTTTACCCATACCTTTATGGACGTCATTTCACCCTAGTTACAGACCACAAACCCCTGGTATCAATATTTGGACCAAAAAATGGAATACCACTTATGGCCGCAACAAGACTACAACATTATGCTATATTCCTTCAGGCATTTTCATTTGACATAAAGTATAAATCAACCAAAGAAAATGTTAATGCTGATGCACTTTCAAGACTGCCTAAAAATGTTGAAGAAGCTGCTGTTATTGACTCAGCCGATGTTCATGAAATAGAACAGAACAAATCTATACTTTACCTGTCACAGCTGAAGAAATAGCAAAAAATACACAATCTGATCCAGATCTTAGAGATATTTATCAATCACTAATAAGAGGGGAGCCAATCCATCACCCGATGTCTTCTAACGAACAAGAATGGTCAATTCAGCTTGGATGCTTATTAAAAGGGAATCGTGTGGTGATTCCCAAACAACCTCGTGCAAGAATTTTGAAAGAACTTCATGAGGCTCATGTGGGTATAGTTCGCATGAAGGGACTAGCTCGTTCGTATGTTTGGTGGCCTAAAATTGATGCAGACATTGAGAATACAACCTTAAATTGTTTGGGATGTCAACGAGTACAGCAAGAATCACCCAAAGCACCAGTTCACCATTGGGAATATCCTTCAAGGCCTATGCAAAGAATTCATGTTGATTTTGCTGGACCATTTTATGGCCACTATTTTCTCCTAATTGTGGATGCCTACAGTAAATGGCCAGAAATTGTAACACTTACAACTATAAATTTACATAAAACCATTGAGGCTTTGTGTAAATTCTTCGGCTCCTTTGGAATCCCTGACATATTAGTGTCCGACAACGGAAGGCAATTTGTTTCATTAGAGTTTGAAAAATTTCTTAAATCAAACGGAATTAGACACAAGAGATCAGCACCTTACCATCCTGCTTTAATGAATGGTCAAGTAGAATGCTATGTGCAAGACTTGAAAGATACCATCAGAGCCATGCACTTTGAGGAACGCTCTATCGAATTAAAATTGCAGGGATATTTAATGGCCTATCGAAGAGCTCCACATAGTACTACAGGACAATCTCCTTCACATCTCTTCATTGGACGTCAAATTCGATCAAGACTTGACGTATTGTATCCTGATTTGTCACAAAAAATTAACCGAATGTTTGACTCAGACTGTGACAGGCAAAAGTCATTTAAAGCTTAAGACAGTGACAGGCAAAAGTCCTTTAAAGCTCAAGACCGTGACAGGCAAAAGTCCTTTAAAGCTCAAGATCGTGACAGGCAAAAGTCCTTTAAAGCTCAAGACCGTGACAGGCAAAAGTCCTTTAAAGCTCAAGACCGTGACAGGCAAAAGTCCTTTAAAGCTCAAGACCGTGACAGGCAAAAGTCCTTTAAAGCTCAAGACCCTGTCGCCTACCGCCTCTATGGAACCTGCAACAAATGGGGGTTTGGAAAGATCAACAAAAAAGAAGGACCAAGAAATTATGAACTAACCACAAGCAGTGGCCCAATCAGACGACATCAAGACCAAATTAGACGCTCAGGGCGGGACTTGTGTGAGTTTTCATTAAGGAATGTGCAAAATCAAGTATTCATACCAACACATTTTGGAGGAGTCAAAAAGGAACCAACCGAAACCACATCACAACATTGATCCAGAGGCCAATGATCTTAACATACCAGATGATCCAGAGACCAGTAACAACATATCAGATGTTCCAGTGGCACCAGCTTCCGCTATGACAGTGAGACGATCAAAACGGACACATAAACCCGTCGATAGACTTAACTTATGAAACTCACTAAGAAGGGGAGGTGTTACATCCTAAATGTCTACCTTTACTTGCTTATATATTCTATACGTATTATCAGCTGGTTAAAATGTTTACTTGTTCACTTTGTTTTTAATTTATGTTGAATAAAGTTGATTAAAATTGTACTTTGACAAATACATTTATTATTTGTTCAAATTACATACAGAACACCTTACAACCAATATTTTGACAAAAAAATACTTTTTTCCATTTTTACAGGTCAAACACACATTCACTGCCAGATGTCTGAGGACTCTACATACAGAAAAGTGTAAGGCCGGTAGTGACCCTGCTAACACATTCACTACCAGCCAGGAGTATGGAGATTACATACAGAAAAGTGTGACAGCTGTTAGTGAACCTGTTTAAGGAAGAAAGTAAGAGGAAAAATGATTATGAGATATATTTTTATCAATATATCTTAATACTAGTTTGAAAAAGTATTAAACAAATTTACTTATTTCAAATGTACAGTAGCGTATTAAAACAACTACTGATAAATTTCTTTTTAATTACCTGTATCTTCTGACACGTTCAGTTTGTTTACTAACATTTGTTAGTCTTTTTACTTGTTCATACCTATAACAAAGAAAGAAATAAATATCACCACAAATTAGTTGAATTTAATGTAGCCTATACATAAACAACTTCATTAAAATTCAGTGTCACAATTTCTATGTTTTCAATTGACTATTGGATACTGAAGTAGACATACCATCTCTATATGGACCAGCTGTCGCAAATGTTTTATTAAAACGAATGTAGTTATGTGAGCCAGTCACAGAATGTGAGTGTCTAAAATTCTATTTTAGACCTTATTTTTTTTGTTGACCATAGAAGATTCTGCTATAGAATCTGACAGTCTCATTGGTGGAGTCATTGCGAACGGTGCTATTAGTGTTCCATTGTGTGAGCTTTTTAAGTTACACCTTTTATAGATTATAGTCTTTTGTGATTGGTTATTATTTGCATGTTGTATCATGACTTGACTGCTATACGGTGCATATTTTTTGACTGCTACCCTCTGTAGTGTATTCCAACTTAGGTTGGGCGTTTGTATATTGTTAGTTGTAAAGTGTTAGTTAAGTTTTTTCACCTGAGGACGGGAAACGTTGTGTATTGGTTTTTTTTACAATAGGCTAGTGATGGAAAATGTCCGCAATAAACCTTTGAACAACATTAACTCACCATCACCAACAATGAACTTCAAACAAAGAATTAACTAAGGTAAATGCACCAGTAGCTGACGGTATAAGAAACTATTCGCACTTAATAATCTGTGGTTTTGAAATAATAGGAACTGAAACAATATTACTGATTTCAGGTGACTCAAAATGTTGTGTAGGTAGTTTTCAAATTTGTCATAGGAAAGGGTTTATAACATGTATTTAATTAAATTTTCAAAATTTATTTAAACTTTGTGTCTGTTCCAGTGGCTGACAGTGAAAAAAGTGTGTGTACCAATAGCTGACAGTCAGTTGTCCCAGTACCTGACATGGCAACTATAGATGTACTGGCTTTCTTTTCTTTTATCAATTCCCAAGCATTTTATAATGTAAAATACTGATTAAAAATAATAAGGTTATAAAATAATATAAACCATTGATTTATTTTAGGCTACATATTTTAAAATCTAAAATAGGCCTATTGGGGTTAAGAGTCATTCTTTCGGTTTGGGGCTTTGTGTTTTGTTTGACATTATCTTTTAAGAGATGATATTCAATTCATCCTGTGATAATCATCATCCGTATCGGATATCCTATGGGTTGACCCTAATGGAAATATACCCCCCTGGAACGTTTGGGGTGCAATGATTGAAATAAAAACACCATTTGGGGAATTAAATAAAACCCGGCTGACTACATGCTTATGGTTGTTGGAATCTTGAGGACTGGAGAGCAAGGAAACTTTTGGATCGATGGTTAAACATGGCTCCTGGCAAAAGTGGCGTGTGATGGGTTGTAGCCAATCCGGGAGCTTTATTAAAATCATACGATGTGTCGTCACAGTCGCCTGATCGCAGTCAGGACACAAATGCAAAACATATTGCCAACTCTTTATAACGCAAATCTAAATACCGGTATCGTAAAAATGGCAAAATTATGGTACATTATTGTACACAATACAACCCCCCCTGCAGCAAACCTGCAGACTAAATTAATTTTAACTTGTCTGATTACATTTTTACTATAATATTTCCATAAATAAGACATAGTTGTTTATTCCCTATTTAAATAACATTAGATTTAAAAAGTAGGTACTTAGGTTTGCTGAATTTCATGAAAATCAGATCATTTTGTTTGAGTTATCGTGCTAACGGACACACACATATATATATATTTAAGGCTAAGTGTTTGGTGAAATTGGGCCTTAGACAAAAAGAAGACTAGCTAAACAATCATAACTTACATATTATCCTCTGAATTATTGATTAGTTTATTGTAAATTGTTGAACTTGATTCTCCAATCTCATCATATTGATTGACCCCCAATTCTCTTCCGTTCTTTGTATTTGCCTCCTCCTTCAGTTGTTTTCTCTTGCGTTTCCTCTGAAGGGTTATCATTTCATGAGATTTTCTTTTGGGCCTTGTCATCTAGGATAAAAGTCACATGAATATTAAAAGAAATTAAGTTAAACAAAATTGTATAAAATACCATGACCCATATTAGGATGGCCTTAAAAGCAGTGTAGGCTAATAGTTTTTTTTTTTTGTCACTAGGCACGAGCCTGGGATTGTTTTTCACATTACTTCAGGCTAGACCTAAGGGTTGCGGCATTATCACTTAGATTAAATCCATTGGTGACTTGGCGGGGATCGAACACGGGACCTCAGGGAATTAAGTCCCGCCATTGACTATACACCTCTACTAGTAGAGGTGTATAGTCAATAATGGTCCCGCGCTCTAACCACTACGCCAGCTCGCTCCCCAAGGCTAATAACTCACAAGATGATTCAATTATTAACAATGCCTAACTTAATTTGCAGAGTCGGCATTTCAATGACAATATTTCCTTAATTAATAGGCCTAAGTATGTAGTTCATGTGTCCAGTCACCTTAATCTGTAAATTTAGTATATTAATTGAAAGGATAGTAATTCATTCCATAGTAGAAATGATTTAATTGTTAGCAATCATCAAAGTTGGCTTTTTGGGCCTGTGTTTCGCGGTAAGCTGTGTCCTCTGGTAAAATTTAAGGGTTTTAAGTTAATCTGGTTTCCAAAATTAATGATAATGTGGCTACACTTAATTAGGCCTAATCAACAAATCATCACCAATTCGTAGCTAACCGCTACAATGATAACATAGAACGGACATACATTTATGTCCGTTCTAACTTATGTCGTGTGTTTTATTTATTGAACTTCAACTTATTTGTTAACGACTTTTGAATGAAGTGACTACCTGACACCTTGAGGCCTGATGATGGTTCAGAAGAACCGAAACTAGTTGCCACCAACAAATCAAATTTTTTATTGTTCAGCTGATTATAATTCTTAACCCTAATAGGATCCATGGTTAGGCTAAGTTGTTGAAATCCTTGACATCTATTGGTCAACATCTCCACATACCCTAGGGCCTACCTACTAAAATACCATTCTCTGATCGGTTGTAGTTTTTTTTATGGACAAAGTAAGTTATGTGTTGATCTGGTAATGGTAGGCCTACTAAACATGTAGGGCCTTCTAGGCCTTAACTATTACTTTGTAGGCCTAGCCTATCTTATCAAAATACTATGTTTTTTTTATAGACCCTGAAAATAATGAAAAAAAGAAAAAACTTAACTAACACACAGGAATAACAACAAACCCAGCGATTGGCCACAAACAATTGCAAATTTGTTGATTGGTTAATAGCAATTTCAATCAATTACCGTCGTGAAGTGAAGTTAGCGGCTCTTCTCTTTTCATCGGCGCTTTTTCGAATAATAATAGTAATAGATACCGATCAAATCAAATTTATTATTGATATTCATTGTAACGCTTTAGGCCTATATAGATTAGTTTTGTTGTATTGTAACTGTTTTGATTTTTTCACTCATTTTGTTGCTTGCAGCTGTCTTTTTGCCATTTCTCTTCTTTTTTTGTTATTTATTGTTTCTAATTCTTTGTTTTTCACTCATCATTATTGTTTAACAAGTAACAACTAGCTTTAAGCAAGTCTTGTTTGTTATTTCTTAAACTGTAGGCTACCAAACCAAATATCAAAACAAAATGGAGCTGTCCAGTCCAGCGTCCAGCTGTCCGTTGGATTGGAATGTAAAATAAATAAATAAATACCGGTTGGTACACCTGCGGATGCCACAAACGTGTTTTGCGGGGATACTGGAAAACCAATTCAATGCAAATACGGTTTATAATAATATTTTTACATGTATATGTGATGTGGAAAGCGGATAGAGACCTCTTGTCTGGATCTTTCGATTTTGAGTTTTATATATTTGAATTCCTTATTAAATTCCGAATCGATTGGTGCAAGTCCCACGCATGTATGATTTTGTTGTTGTTAAAGCTCAAATGTAAAACATATTAATTATTGTAAAAATTAAACAAACTCAGAATGCAGTTTTCTATTTGTCAGGTTAGACATACCTGTAAACTATATATTTTGGGTAAAAACACTCTCTTTGTTTGCGGAGAGCTACCTTCTGCCACTGGGTGTTGGTCCACATACAGAACCAAGTGATGGGGCCCTAGACTAAGGTGTAATGTGATCCGTGCCAAGAGTTTTGTGGCAATTGGGGCCTAATATTCAGTGTCTTAACGGAGCCTTCTGGGAACCAGGGGGAACCCAATCGTATGCACCCCTTACCTCTCTAATCAGGTTAGATACCCTCTTTGTTTGCTTTTGTCGATGTTATTTTCAAGAAATAATTTGTATCATTCCAGAGGGTTAACTCTGCTAAAGGCAGCAATAATTGTTTGTGAAAAATTGTAAGTTAATAATTTTTTGATAAATTTAATGAAATCAGAATATTTATCTAATTTATCTAAAAGCCCTCAAATCCCTTGTCGCAGTTCATTAACTAACATTCATAAACTAATTATCTCAAATCTCAACTAATAATATGCATTATCCTCAGTTGTTAGAAAAGTAAATTAGTTGTAACCCTTTCCCTTTTCTATTTATATTACACAAGGAAATGCCATCAACTTAAAACATTAACTTACGACAATTTTTTTACCATACTTAACGCTTTCAAAGTCCCGTGGCAGATAAGTATTCTAAAAATATCATGCAAATATTATAAACTATAGTTGTGTGCCCGTTCTACGCACGGGGATCTACGCATCTTGTAGTCAGTTGATACCTTTTTATAATTGTAATTTACGAGACTATTAGCTGCCTCAATCATGCTAATACCGATTATTCTACACATTGTATTTTACCATTATAATAGCTCAAAATTTATGTAATGGGCTTGAAAAAGATTGTGCACTTTTTCCTGACGCGAGTTCCTATCCATCGTATATATATATATTTGTGATTAATCAGTGTGGCAGATTGCGTGTAATAAATATAAAGGTTACTTACAGTCTTCGCAATCCTGTTAGTTGAGCACTACGGCCGTTTCGGAGATAACTCCATCGTCGGGTGCGTAGTCATTATACACTAATCTGAGCTATTTACATATTTACATTTCTTACGTGGTTTCTTCATTTTCATTGCGTCAAAGTTAAATAAATAGTACATACAACACAAAACACGGACACGACACGAAAACATTAAGGCACGTGCACGGCTAAAAACTGACGACCGACTGAACGAACTTTATCACTGCAAAGGTTTGGTGGACGACTGGAACAGCTGATAACATGTGTACCAACATAGCTGCTCAAATTATACCTTGTCCTGTTTGATTTGTATTATTTTCTCAAAAATTGGATTGGCTGCTGAATTAGTCTGGGAATTAATTATTAAGTTCGGTTCTTTAGCTGTACTGGTGTAAATGTGGAAATTTTCAATACAATTAAGTTTGTGACCTTTGCTACCAATGTGGAGTATTTCTAAACTATTAATTTCAGAGTAGTCGTGGCAATACTGTTGGATGTGTTCTGCATAATTTGAGACAGGATTTGGTTTCTTGATAGCACTTATATGTTCTTTATATCTGGTCTTAAAACATCTACCAGTCTGTCCGATGTAGTAGGAATCACATTCTCCGCATCTAAGCTTATACACGCCTGACTTTTCTAGTATAGGCGTAGTATCCCTTTGTCGTGGATCTGACAACTTACGTTGAAGGTTGTTGCTAGTTCTGTATGCAACTGAATAGTTATGCCTACTAAAAGGACGAGTTGCTAAACGTTGGTTGAGTTTACAGAACTCTAGTGTCACGTACTTTTTATCAGTTTTTTCTTTGGCAATTTTATTATTAGCTTTACTCTTGATTCTCCTGTGCAGTTTATCAATCATGTCAGAGCTGTAACCGTTATTCAAGGCAATGTATTTTATTGTGTTAAGTTCATTTCTATAGTTTTCTTGACTTAAAGGTATGTTAATCAATCTGTAGAGCATTGAATTGTAGGCTGCAATTTTGTGAGAGTGGGGGTGATTAGAGCTGCTATGGATGGTTGTGTCTGTACTGGTCGGTTTTCTATAAATATTAAAAAGGTGTTTGTTGTCGGATTTTGTTATTGTCAGGTCAAGGAAGTTGATAGAGGAGCTTTTCTCATGTTCTATTGTGAATTTAAGTCTAGGATGGATATTATTAAGATATTTCCCAAACAGGTCAATTTGTCTGTTATTGCCTTTGAATAAGCAAAGTACGTCGTCGACGTATCGTACAAAGGTCTTAAACATAATTTCCATCACAAACCAAAAAACGGTATAGTCGACTCTCTTTTGGAGATTGAAAGTTGTATTGAGACAATAAAACATGAGAAACAGGACCCTATTAGATATGAGATCATTAATAAGTTAAGTCAAGGTAACAGTGAAATGGTCATTGTTGATAATCTTTCAAACGAAGCTAAAAATGATTTTACAGCTTTAAGAAGTTTAACCGATAAGCTCGACATCAATAAGGCCATTGTCACAAAGGCTGATAAAGGTAATGCTGTTGTAGTACTAGATAAGGATGAATACACATGTAAAGTGGACAGCTTTATTGCAGTAAATAACATTAAGACTCTAACTAAGGATCCAACAAAACAATATCACAGTGAAGTTAATAAAGTTATTAATAAATGTAAATATCTCCTTAGTGATGTTCAAAAGAGGCAGGTCAAGGTCATGAACCCTAGTGCTCCTAAAATGCGTGGGCTTCCGAAAATACACAAAAAGGATGTTCCAATCAGACCTTTAGTGAACTTTATTAACGCACCTTCATACAACTTATGCAAACTTATTGATAGAATTATAAGAAACAACATTGACTTCAAAGTTAATTGCAGCGTTAAGAACAGCACACATTTGGTTGATGTGATAAAAAATGTAAATATTCCGTCCCATGCACAGTTTGTATCTTTTGATGTCACGAATCTGTATACGAGTGTGCCTATTGACGAAACCATATATTTGGTAGAACAGTACATTAAAACGAAAGGAACTTTAAATAGTGAGAAAACAGCAGAATTATTATCACTGTTAAGAGTCGTCCTAAAACAGAATTATTTCGAGTTTAATAACAAACATTATTTACAAGAACAGGGGTTAGCTATGGGTTCACCTCTATCTTCAATCTTATCGGAAATCTTCCTTGATAACATAGAACACCAACGCATTTTGGCCGACAGTAATGCGCATCAAGGAAAGATTGTTTACTGGCACCGATACGTCGACGACGTACTTTGCTTATTCAAAGGCAATAACAGACAAATTGACCTGTTTGGGAAATATCTTAATAATATCCATCCTAGACTTAAATTCACAATAGAACATGAGAAAAGCTCCTCTATCAACTTCCTTGACCTGACAATAACAAAATCCGACAACAAACACCTTTTTAATATTTATAGAAAACCGACCAGTACAGACACAACCATCCATAGCAGCTCTAATCACCCCCACTCTCACAAAATTGCAGCCTACAATTCAATGCTCTACAGATTGATTAACATACCTTTAAGTCAAGAAAACTATAGAAATGAACTTAACACAATAAAATACATTGCCTTGAATAACGGTTACAGCTCTGACATGATTGATAAACTGCACAGGAGAATCAAGAGTAAAGCTAATAATAAAATTGCCAAAGAAAAAACTGATAAAAAGTACGTGACACTAGAGTTCTGTAAACTCAACCAACGTTTAGCAACTCGTCCTTTTAGTAGGCATAACTATTCAGTTGCATACAGAACTAGCAACAACCTTCAACGTAAGTTGTCAGATCCACGACAAAGGGATACTACGCCTATACTAGAAAAGTCAGGCGTGTATAAGCTTAGATGCGGAGAATGTGATTCCTACTACATCGGACAGACTGGTAGATGTTTTAAGACCAGATATAAAGAACATATAAGTGCTATCAAGAAACCAAATCCTGTCTCAAATTATGCAGAACACATCCAACAGTATTGCCACGACTACTCTGAAATTAATAGTTTAGAAATACTCCACATTGGTAGCAAAGGTCACAAACTTAATTGTATTGAAAATTTCCACATTTACACCAGTACAGCTAAAGAACCGAACTTAATAATTAATTCCCAGACTAATTCAGCAGCCAATCCAATTTTTGAGAAAATAATACAAATCAAACAGGACAAGGTATAATTTGAGCAGCTATGTTGGTACACATGTTATCAGCTGTTCCAGTCGTCCACCAAACCTTTGCAGTGATAAAGTTCGTTCAGTCGGTCGTCAGTTTTTAGCCGTGCACGTGCCTTAATGTTTTCGTGTCGTGTCCGTGTTTTGTGTTGTATGTACTATTTATTTAACTTTGACGCAATGAAAATGAAGAAACCACGTAAGAAATGTAAATATGTAAATAGCTCAGATTAGTGTATAATGACTACGCACCCGACGATGGAGTTATCTCCGAAACGGCCGTAGTGCTCAACTAACAGGATTGCGAAGACTGTAAGTAACCTTTATATATATATTTGTAATGGTTTAAATACCTGCATTCAGTAATCCAATGAGCTGCTTGTGGCAACTATAGTTTCGGTTCACAGGGAACCATCTTCAGGCCGTACAAGGCGTCGTTATTCACTTCCATATGTGAAGGTCGTCATTTAATAAATAAGTATATAGAACACGAACACACGAAAACGCACATTGACACGAACATTTAACATTAAAAATACCGAGTACTCGGGAACACGAGACAGGTGACGCGACCGGGTGGAAGTTGTAGCTCGAACTCCAACTTCGAACTCGAACTCCAGTTCGAGCTACAACTTCCACCCGGTCGCGTCACCTGTCTCGTGTTCCCGCGAGTACTCGGTATTTTTAATGTTAAATGTTCGTGTGCGTTGTCAATGTGCGTTTTCGTGTGTTCGTGTTCTATGTACTTATTTATTAAATGACGACCTTCACATATGGAAGTGAATAACGACGCCTTGTACGGCCTGAAGATGGTTCCCTGTGAACCGAAACTATAGTTGCCACAAGCAGCTCATTGGATTACTGAATGCAGGTATTTAATCCATTATAAATTTTCAAACGTAATCCGGAGGCTAACAACTCATAAAAATATATATTTGACTATAGCTTTGTGATTTACAGGACTGCCTCAATAATACTTTATTATTTGATTCAATAATACTGATACTGATATGGATTTTTCTTAACATTAACATTGTATATTACCATAAGAATATCTCAAAGTTGATGTGATAGGTCACGATGCGTTTAGGAAAAAGATTATGCACTTTTTTATGTTGGGAGTTTTAATTGAACGTGTTTTGTTAAGCCATGGCTCTACGTATAATGTACAATACTGCCTCAAATATGCCTATTACAATACATTAATTAATTAGTTCAGCTCGTTTATACACGTTTTATAAAGGTATTATTGACATTATATTCATGTAAAAACATGATTTCGCACCGTATTGTCATTGAATTGTGTTTCCGACATCCCTGCAAAACACGTTTGTGGCGTCTGCAGGCGTACCAACAACCCTTATCTATTACAATTCGAAAAAGCGCCGATGAAAAGAAGGAAAAGACTGTAAAGGAAAAGACGAAATGGAAATGAAATGAAATGAAATGACAAAAGGAGAAAAGAGAGCCGCTAACTTCAACTTCACGAAGACGGTGGGAGACGAGACGAACTTAACTGAACTGAACAATAAAACACAAAACAGAACAACACCAAACCATAAACCAACAGTAATTATTAATCCATCAGTCCAAGAAAGAGTCCAGTCACTACAAGAAGGCGACCGACGACTCACATTTCAAGTTTAACTTTATAACGTGTGGTGTGGTGAGCATGACTGACCAAGTTTCCCCTTTTTTACTAATTACAGGCTTAGAACAGGAATGTAATTCATCATGAATAAGCGAGAGTAAAATACTAGTGAGACTTCCTTTAAGCAAATGGAATGTGAGTAGGCCTAATCCTATTTGTTTAGTATTGTTGTTAATGCTGTTTATATAGGCCTAACACTGATCATTTTAGTCTAGCCTTGACTAACTTAAAATCACTCAATAGGCTTAGTCAATAACTAACCACTCTTGACCTAGGCCTACAGATTTCACACATATTTTTCACATCGTCTAAGCATTTCTCATTTAGTAAAAAAGTTGTCAGACCATAGGGCCCAGGCTTACACATTCTTGTAGGCCTACACATCCTTGTAGGCCTTAAAATAGGCCTATCCATTAGATACAGTGCGACCAAAATTGAATTGCGACCAGTGCCACTGTATATGTAAAATTGAACTCAACGTTTTCTTTGCTGGGTAAAAACAGTTTTATTTATTATTTTTTTAGTTAATTAATGAAAAGTTACTGGTAAGTTACTTAATTTTTTGTATGATACGGTATACATAACTTAGGCTAACAGAGGTAAGTTACATCACAAAATAAAACGGGACCGGTAGCACTGTACCAGTATCTAAAACTTATCAGATTGTATAACGGAGAAAAACAAGGCATGTGTGCACGAGATGACGCTAAAGGCGCCTTTACACCGGACGGAGTTAACTTAATAACTTATAGTTAATTATCTTTTGTTATTAACCCTCCTAGTGTTATGTGTCGATTTTTTGACACATAACACACTTTGTGTAGTGTTTTGTGTCGATTTTTCGACTCACAAACACTGTTTACGGCGAAGGCTCTATGACTGACATAATCGGATTGAACTGGATCGAGTTAGGTATCGTTTTATTTGGCAGATCCTAAGCTTTCTCCCGAGGTTTGTCTCTAAGCGCTTTTTTCTCTCGAGCCGATCCTAATTGTAGCAGACAGCTGACGTGCTTATTTGTAAACAGCTTGGTTAACCTCGCACCGATGACTGATGTGTTTTATTACGTTTATCATTGTTTTAGTGTTAGATATACATGGTGCATTAGCCTATAAGAAGATTTAAGTGATTTTGAAGGGCTGGTTGATGATCCTGAAGAAGTAGTATATTGATGTAAATTATCAGCCAGATTCCTAGCTATGGTTAGGTTAGGCCTACATATGCATTCTTAGCTAAACGCTATGTACCGAAATCTGTTATTTGCCCATAACTTACTTATTTGCAAATCTACTTCCTTACTTATATTATTATATTTTTGGAATCCTCATAAAATTTAGAACAAAGTGGCTATTTTCAAATATTTATTGGCCTATAATTTATAGCCTACAATTTCATTGAGTGCGAACTTATTTTTTTTTTGAAAATTTTCCAAAATATTTTAGGCTACCTAAAAAATTGTTTTGAAACAAATGTTCCTTATGTTTTATGTATAATATTGAAGCCCATGATTTTCCAAACAAAATGGTATAGGAGAACAGTATAATTAGGCCTACAATTGTTTTTAAGCTTCTCAGATCCGTTTTCATAAAACCTTGCAAATGCGCCAAAAATAGGCAGACATTAAGGCCAAAACTAGGGACACTCAGTTAAGTAAGTAGGCTACGCAATTAACAAAAGTTAATAACAGAAAGTTATTAACAAATTATTTTGTACTTTGGTTTTTGTTAAAAACATAAAGTCAGTCCGCCATCTTGAATCATCATCGCTCATGCACAGCCAGCAATTAGATGAGACAGTGGTGCGAGAGGATGACGTCGTTCTTGCTGCAGCTGCGTGCGTTGTTTTGGCTACTGCTGCCCAAAGGAGACCTAGGAGATACTGTGTGAAACCGTCACTCAGAGCAAGGACTTTGTACAGTGGGAGTGATATGTTAAGTGATATGCAAGAAGACGATAGTGACCCTCTTTCAGGCGAGCTAAGGTGCGATGATGGAAGCATAAAGAATTTCCTCCGCAGGTGGTACTGAGGGGCGACTAGTGCGCTCTCTGTAGCACGATGCTGAGCGTGGGGGTTGCAGGGAAGAGAGGGACCTGTTAGCCTATTAACAAAAGTTAGTGCACTAAAAGAGACCATTAACTTTGTTTACTACCTAACATTTGTTAAAAACATAACACATTTCCTTTGATCTTTACTGACTCTTGATGGATAACATAAATCTTGTTAATAACAAGGAATTTTCTGTTAAAAACCAAATAATAACTTTTTTTTTAACACTTGCTATTAACTCCGGTGTAAACGCGGCTTAACAGCGATACTAGGTGTGTGGGGGGAGGGGATGAAACAGCACTCTGGCCAAGACCAGTTTTGGGGCGAGAAAACAAAAATGGCAGGAATTTTTCATGTTGCGGGATCTAATAGATTAGGGGCGACCGACGGACGCTTTAAAAACTACAGTAGGCCTATTTGAACTGATACCGAGAGCTACAACCTGTCTAGGTAGCCCTACAGTAATTATGTTGATTAAGGTGACAAGGGAACCGTAGTAATTTATATTAAAATTAGAGTCTATAGGCTACCTGAAAACAACGGTGCAAATATTTTTCCGCTGTCACAAAAACTTAATAATCTACGATCGTTTGCATTTAATTTAATTTTGTATTAAGCTACAAGAAAATGCCACAAGATTTACAGCTACAGTAATTAAACAATATATTACACAAGGGCCTTGCTGTAAAATTGAATGAAAATCAAGAATTCTTAATACTTAAATAATTATCTCCTTTGTTGGCACTGAAGTCCAGTAGAGTCTATAAGTAGGGCTGGTCACTCACATTCACTCTTAAAGGGAAAGTGTTCAAGTTCAGAGTAGAGAATCCCAAATGGTAAGTAGCCTATAAATTGTTTAAAGCAGATAACTCACCGCAATGTCCAGTAAGGTTACAATATCTGGTTTGGACCGACTCAAACCGAACCCCACGAGTATTACGAAGTGACAGGGTATCACAAGGTTTCACAACCAGGGCTCACAGGTCGAGAAGCTACTCCAGAGATACGTTAGCAGGCACTAGCCACAACGGGATCCGGCATAAACCCTCAATTGTAAGTCAGCATTAAATCCAACGATGATGTCAGAGGGTCAGCACTAATAACAAAATTTACCAAGCTGAAAGTAGTTGATTCTCACTCTTCAGAGACTTAGTCTTGACAGTCACAAATCATTTCCAAGGTTTTTTTCCAATATGATGCCACAACCATGTAGATAACATCAGTGAAGAGATACCGTCGGCCAAGAGAAGGAGGCATTGAAGTGAAAGTGGTCAAGTGTCAGGAATTGTCATGGTACTGGACAGTAACTTATACTAGTTTATAGGAATTTCCTTGCCACTCAACTATTTGGAAGCAAAACTCATGACATCAATCAATGTCCCTTAATTTGAATAAATCAACTAATTTAGGCGTGCACAACAGTATGTTCAATTTTTTTGTTGGGTGATCAGTCCAACAAAATTTTGAAAATAGTGGGCAATTTAAGAATAAAATGTCACACAGCACTAATGTGTCCAACAATGTGACATTGTGATCATATCCCGAGTGTGCAGTAACACAATGACCATATCTTTTGATCGTATGGATATCATGATCATCCCCACGCTGCATTCTTATGATTTGTAGTAACAAGAATGGGCTTTGACTGCTTGTTGCAGATTATGAAGATTTTGCAAACATTTTTTGTGATTCCAAAATTAGAATCAGGTTCGGTGAAACTGAATTCTTTTGTGCGGTGTCGAAGTATAACTGATGTTACATTTCCTGACATGTTGGAGCAATGGCTGATTCCCCAACATGAAGGTGACATGAAAGACTGTGTTGAACCAGGACTGGGCTCCACCTCATTGGCACGACGATGTCCCAAGTTTCAGCGAATTTCCCTACAGGGGAGTAGCTATTCCTGTAGGTGGCATGGTAAGACCTAGGCCCGGGACCGATTAACTTTTTCATTTTGATGTCCCCGGAGGCCAAAAACACGATAACTTGAGTAATTTTTGTCCGATTTTGATGAAATTTGGTTTTAAGGTGTAAGGCAGGATAAACTTGAATGAGTTCGCGAACCAGCATGATCGGACCATGGGAACGGGGTTTTATGGGGTAAAAATTGGTTTTTCTAATTTTTGACCTTCTAAACACAAAATTTCCCAATTTCTCTCCAGACCTTTTTAAAGAGCTTAAAAAACAAATAATTTGGTATATCAAAGTGTTTTTGTACAATTATTGGTTACGGAGAAAATTCAAAAAACTATTATTTTGTAATTCCCATGTTATTCTCATGGAGAGTGTTGTACAATATTGTAGCTTGCTTGTTTATGGATATATTTTGATCAAACTTGGTAAATTCTTTTATTTTATACTAACTCCCTTAATGTTTACAATCTATGTATATATTTAATTAAAATGGTCTTTTTCAGAATAGGCAGTTGATTTGAAGAGGAAAGGGAACTTATATATTATGTCGCAAGAAGGATAATTGACAAAATCTGCTATTTAAATACTTTAAAGGGCAGCTGAAAATATCAAGTTTTTACCATACTAAAAGTACTACATATTGAAAGTAAGTAATTCACTATGTAAAACTTAAAATAAAATTATACTCGTATAACTTTTATATGGCTGATTCCACAATATTATTTTAAAACAACATAGAATATAGAAGCAACGATTTCTTAAGTAGCCTGATTTTTTAAGTAGCCTAGGTATGATAAAATTTAACATGATGGAACATAAAGTGAAGACAAAAAAGCAAAATGCCTCGAGGTAGCTATGTGGTATGATAATTTATACACAACATTTGAGCAAGAGTTGATAAAATTTTGATTGATACACACATATAACTGTTCAAAGTTTAACAAATTCTACAATAAACGAGATATTTAAATAGACATACAAAGCCAACTTAATAATTCCAATTAGTTACCAGCTTTAAGTAACTAGCTATTTCCGTTAAGAAAATGAAAAATTTCTAAGTATTTCATGGCCACTAAAATGTTTCTGCTACTTCTTGGTTAATGATGTCCTTAAAGATCCATCACAGTTCGGGGTTCCTAGAGGTAAACACATCACAAAAAATTCACACATGCACATATCTCGTGACATTTGGGCTGCAGAATATCGTGAAAATGTGAAATAATCTTCCTAGGAACCTAATACACATCCTTAAAATGGTTTACAATACCTGCATATAGTAATCCTTTGTTGCTGATCAGGGTCGTCGCATGGTTTATTGGCACCCGAGGCGAGATGTTGTCAGGCGCCCCCTCCCCAAACACACATTGAGTGATGATCGTTATACAAAGTTGCGTTGCTGTTTCAATTGCACAACAACAGACACTTGAACGGATTGAATAAATACTATACATGTTATTAATTATTAACAGTGCACATCAAAATTAATGAGAGGGTCAACTGACCGGGAAATCTGGGAATTGTGTGTGAGATTTTAACCGGGAAATATGCATGCCTTTTGTGTTTCTACCTGGATATTTAATTTTACCACGATCGCGCATGACGACAACAGTGACGTTTCCGTGACCACGGGAGACGATGGTATGTCTACCCTTGGCCGCAAGGGATGATCAGAATTTTTCCATGATCGCATACGACGATGATCTCCTCACTACTGTGGGATATGATGAACATTTCGCCGCAATCGCGGAATACGGTTGTGATGTTTAAAGGACCATGGGAGATAAAATAATTATATCTACCCGGCCACGAGGGATGATCAGAGTTTTACCATGATCACGCAAGACAATGATAATCTCCACACAACCGCGTGAAAGGATTAGAATTTTGCCTCATTCGCAAAAGACGATGATTCAATTATTCAATTATTCAATTATTGAGATGGGGACGCCACCTAGGTGCGTATTTTAACCCAAATATGAGTGAAGGATGAGTGTAGAATGGTGTGTGATGACCTGTGTAGCTTTGTTACTGACTAAGATCAGCGGTTTCATTAGTCAGGATCATTTATTTAAAGCCCAATGATCAGGAACAGCTGGGTCCAGTTTCGAACCATCAAAAAGCTACTAACTTTTCTTAGGATCGAACCGGCGACCTTTTGATTACTAGGCGAGCACTATAACCACTCAGCTACCCAGCCAGTTATGATGATCTCCACACAACCGTGGGAGATGTTTACCATTTTTCCGCAATCGTGGGAGACAATTACTATTTTCACACGACCACGGGAGACGAAATAATGATGTCTACCCGGCCGTGAGGGATGAATAGAATTTTACCACGATTTATTATAATCTCCTCACGACCGCGGGATATGTTCATATATTGCTGCGATCATGGAAGACGATATGCCTAATTATGTCCACACAACAGCGGGAAACAGTCAGAATTTTGCCGCGATCGCGGGAGACCATAACGATGTCTTGTGCCGGGAGAGATTATCAGAAGTTTACCACCATCGCATGCAAATATAACAACCAATTTTTTGGTTCCCCACGAAAAAAGCCAATTGCCTCGTGCCCTAGGCACGTGCCTACCGTGCCTATTCGGTAAATTGGCCCTGGCAATAGTAAGCAAAACCTCAAACCAAACCTACTCTGAATAGAATATACGGAATGACAGAATAAAATAAAAACACGTTATTACATTTAGAAATAAGACCCTTTCCTCTAAACATTAAATGGCATTCGCCTGGATTTTGCACGAGCAAATGTCTTGAGAATATCTTTGAAGTCTACTTTCCTAGCTTCATCGTTTTCAATTGTCATGATGGCAAGAGAGTTCAGTCTCTCCTGTGACATGGATGATCGTAAATATGTCTTTATAAGTTTCAGCTTACTGAATCTACGCTCAGCACTTGAAACTGTCACTGGTGTAGTTAACAAAACTCTTAGTGCAATCCAGAGATTTATAAATACGTCTTTGCTGTCTGTTTTCTTGATTGCTCGCAACACGTCGATTGGTTGAACTTTCCGAAGTTGGGGTTCATTGATATCTAAGATGGAGTTCACATGTTGCAGTTCACAAAAAAGTTCATTGCCGTTGATATCTGATATTCCGTCAGTATTTCTTAAGAGAGTTTCTAGTTTCAAACAACTCTGTTTCAAGTCATCTTTTGGTGGAAGATTAGCCAAGTTATACAAAAAAAATCCCCACTGCGAGTTATGATTATAAAGTGCAGTGGACCTACCTTTAACTGATGTTGCTACTGTATCCAACAATGAATAAAATACCTCCCTCTTGAATGTGTCTTCTGCAGATGTTTGCACTTCGTCGCTTGCACTTTCATACAAAAAGAGACGTTTCTTCTTGCGAATTCTGGTTTCGGTTTCAGGGAAGATTGGTTGTATTCCTAGCTCTTTTGAAATTTCCTTTACGGAAGTGCATTAGTGTATCCATTTTCTCTAAATTTGTCTAAGAAGTCCAAGCAATTTATTTAACTTACTCATAGCATCACTGACGCCTTTGGCTTTCCCTTGAAGACTTTTACTTATGATATTGATTTCAAACAGCAAATCATGCCATAGTATTAAGCATACTAAGAAAGAAAAGTCTTCCATCTGGTTGAGTAAGGAATGAGCCTCACTCGCTGTCTTAGGGTCGTCCGTTTTATCAAAGCATCCCGCACTTCGACGTACTGATAGCGAACAGCTTGCACCGAAGATATTCGGGCTTCCCATCGTGTTTCTCATACTTGTTTTAGCGTGAGATCCTTGACATGTTCACTAATCACACACCAACGCTTTGTAGAGCCTGCAAATATCATATATATACGCTGGAGTGTTCCAAATAGAGATGTAGATTTGACCGAGGATTTCGCTCCATCAGCAATTACCAGGATCAGACTATGGCATCCACAAGGCTTAAAAAAAGCCAGAGGGAAATCTGCTAGTATACGAGGTTGAACTCCTTTGTTCCTTTGTCGCAAGACGATGTATTTTTAACAACGATGTATCCTTTGTTGTAGGATACCTGCCATATTGGCACCATTACCCTGGCCCCGACAGTCTTTCATGTTTAGTCCACACGTCACCTCGTGCATATTTGAGGTCATTGTCTCTACCGTGAGTCATCGTCAGGATGTCAGAGACGTGAGTGGGGGGAGGGTAGTCGGGCGAAATAAGAATAGAACATGGCAACTAGGCTAGTAGGCTATTCGTGTGAAGGCCTACAGAGCGAAACTGCGACATTGCAATATTGATTTATATTAAGATAATTAAGTTGGGACAGGGCCTTCAACTCCACTGTGGCCCATTATTAGGCTATTATTACTAAACTAAAAGTAGTAAACAAGCAAATCTAGCTACCTACTTCATTTTTATAAAAAAATATTTCATCTGGGAAAACGTTGCAAATATATAAAGTTATCGGTGTCAAATAATATGTATTTGTTCAATAAATGCATAGAACGTAATATTAAAAATTCAGTTAGTTATACATAACTTCCCAAATTACGTTATGTACATCTAACTTAATTTTTTCAAATTTGTTTTATCACTTTTGCCACTGCGCCCCCCAAGCCACTGCTTCCGCGGCGCTCCCCTGGCCATGGTGCCCTCCAAGCCGCAGGGCCGCGGATTTGGCACAAGATGTAACATATGAACAAACATTTAACCCTTTGCGTGCTATGCAATGATATATCGGCGTTTACTAAAACCTCTAAGGGATATAGAGAGGAAGGTACTTTACAAAAAGTAGCAAAACGGCCATGACCTGCATATTAATAGGAAACACTAACAACCACTTAGCTAAAAGATTCCCCCAATCCGATGATTCGAGGTGTATGTCTAAACCATGAATTATGAACACCTCACTATGCCCCAGTGGTTGTAGTATATTGCTACAAACACACAGGTCACTCATTATTTGCCACACAGGACGGTAATCGAACCCAAGCAGACGAATGCCACTGGCCAAGTGACACATGCCCTAGCCTTCTCGGCTATCTGTGCTTGGAGACTGAGGAGTCAAAAACCGGTATTTAAGTTCACGCCATCGATTGCGAACAGATAGCGCTGCAGCACGTTGTTCCATGCGTTACAAGGTAGCAGCACTAGTTAGTCACGGACTATTTAGATGATATTTTTTAGTTGAACCCCAACAGTGATCATAAATTGTGTTACCGTGGCTTTGCTGCGAAAAAAATTATTTTTCCTAAAATGGCTATATTATAAGATTACAAGATACAAGATACAAGATTCTTTATTTGGTCGATTGAACAGTAATACAGTTATAGACCACGTCAAATTGTTAAGTTAGGCTACAGATACATACAAATTGAAATATTGCATACAGTACAGGCAGTGGCGGCTAGCCCATAAGGACTCTCAGACGCCGCCCTCCCAACAATACATAAATAAATTACATTTTAATATTAATTTTATTCAGTTAAATTTAATTAAAATTGCTTTAACGATCACTTCAAACTATATGCAACATAAATATACCAAATAATTGGATAATTCAATTCAGTAAAGACTAAATTTTGATCGTCGCTTGCTTAGTAAGGACAGCGCGGACGGCGGCCAGACCGTCCCAATCCCAATACATGTAGTCTTATGGCAGAACAACCAAACAGCTCTGAGGGTGCCATGACGTCATTCCAATGCTTTAGTAAGGGCGCTTTGGGGCAGAGTCCAAAGCTGCGCGCGCACTCTTAAATCAGGGCAGCCACCACAATCTGGATATTCTGTACGACAAGCTACCCCATTTTATGATGGAGAGAACTGATGTTGGCACACCTGTTTGTCATAACTCAAACCATCTAATTTCTAAAACTAGAAATTAGAAAACAACTGAGCTCACCTCAAAATGTTATTTTGGTTTGGTGTTGATGTTTAGTGATTAATGAAAAGTGAGTGATGTTCGTGCGTGTATTAAAGCAAAATACTAACACTGTATATACTTCATTAAATTGATTTCACATCCAGTTTAGTTAAAGATAGGCCATGAATTTCTGGTTAATTAATATTATTGAAGTACAATATGTTTTTAGGTTACTGGTATAAGTGTAAATGCAATTTGTTTTCGTAAGCTGTTTTACTTTTTGGCTTGACTATATCAAACTACGTTCATATGTTTAGTTGTAAACAAAGAGAATTGAGTTTGACAGTTTGATCTAATGTCAACAGATAACACTGCCGTTCCCAAACTTTAACCCTTGTCTGTACTTAAGTGATGCCCTTTCTTAATATTCCAAGACGTATTTGCACATCTACGTGAAAATACCTTTAATTTGATACCTCAAACGTTATAATCCGTCAAGCCGTTATCGAGTTATGACTGTGAAAAGAAAACTGCTTGCGTATTAATATATAGATTACATACATTACAATTGCTTTTATGATTCTAAATTTCAACAAGAAAATCACCTAAATACTTACAACAACTAACTGTATATATTTAATAAATTATGGTCTTTTTCAGAATAGGCAATTTGAAGAGACAAAGGAACTTCAATACCTGTGGCAAGAAATATAATTTACATAATCTGATGTAATACTTTAAACAGCAGCTAAAAAGCCAAACACACAAACACAACAACAAAGCCAACTGACTAATTTCAATTAGTTTCAAGCTTGTCTGATAAGTTAGAAGAGTCAAAGATTGAAAACTAAAAAATGTTAAAGAGCACCAAAAAGTCTCATCTTAAGTGTCCAATATGTAGAAAATTGTTTTCAACTCTATCAAATATGAAGTGTCATATTATGTGTTTACACACAGGCGAGCGTTCCTTTAAGTGTTTGTCATGTGAGGAAACATTTTTTCAACTAAGTCAAATAAAGAATCATTTATTGACACATTCTGGTAAGTGTCCTTATAAGTGCACTACATGTGGAAAATCCTTTAAAACCAGCAGCAACATGAAGATTCATACATTGGTTCACACAGGAGAGCGACCTTACTTGTGCATTATATGTGGAAAATCCTTCAAAACCAGCAGCCATATAAAGATTCATACAATAGTTCACACGGGAGAGCGACCTCATAAGTGCTCTACATGTGGAAAATCCTTCAAATCCAAGGAAAATATGAAGAAACATACATTGGTTCACACGGGAGAGCGACCTCATAAGTGCCCTACATGTGGAAAATCCTTCAAATCCAGGCAAGATATAAAGACACATACATTGGTTCACACGGGAGAGCGACCTCATAAGTGCTCTACATGTGGAAAATCCTTCAAATCCAAGGAAAATATGAAGAATCATACATTGGTTCACACGGGAGAGCGACCTCATCAGTGCACTACATGTGGGAAATCCTTCCAAACCAGCAGCGTTTTGAAGAGACATACTTTGGTTCACACAGGAGAGCGACCTCATAAGTGCACTATATGTGGAAAATCCTTTAAAAGCAAAAAAGGTATGAAGCAACATACATTGGATCACGTCAGAGGGAGACAACATCAGTGCACTACATGTGGGAAATCCTTCCATACCAGCGCCCATTTAAAGATTCATTTATTGGTTCACACGGGAGAGCGACCTCATCAGTGCCCTACATGTGGAAAATCCTTCAAATCCAGTAGAGATATGAAGAGACATACATTGATTCACACGAGAGAGCGACCTCATAAGTGCACTATATGTGGAAAATCATTCCCAACCAGCAGCTGTATGAAGAGACATACATTGATTCACATGAGAGAGCGACCTCATAAGTGCACTATATGTGGAAAATCATTCCCAACCAGCAGAAATATGAAGAGACATACATTGGTTCACACAGGAGAGCGACCTCATAAGTGCACTACATGTGGAAAATCCTTCCAAACCAGCAGAAATATGAAGATACATACATTGGTTCACACAGAAGAGCGACCTTATGAGTGTACTACATGTGGAAAATCATTCAAATCCAAGGGAGATATAAAGAGACATACATTGGTTCACACAAGAGCGACCTCATAAGTGCTCTGCATGTGGAAAATCCTTCAAATACAAGCTAGATATAAAGAGACATACATTGGTTCACACGAGAGAGCGACCTCATAAGTGGAAAATCCTTCTAAACCAGCAGCGATATGAAGAGACATATGGATAATTAATTCACACTAAAGGGGCCTCATGAGAGCACCACATGTGGAAAATCCCTCACAAGAAGTTGCAGTATGATGTTTCATACATTAATTTATTATGTGTTCATTCATTTGATTTTATTTTGTGTTTATTTTTCTTAAATTCTCCTATTAAGAAAATGAAAAAAAGCCTCAGCATTTCATGGCCACTCAAAATGTTTTTGCCACTGCCTGGTTAATGGTGTCCTTAAAGATCCATCAGAGTTTAGGGTTCCTTGAGGTAAACACATCTCAAAAATTCACACATGCACATATTTCGTTACGTTTTGGCTACAGAATATCGTGGAAATGTGAAATAACCTTCCTTGGAACCTAGTACACATATTATCCATTGAATCCCAATCCTTGACTATAGGATATATATATATTTGACTATCTGCAAGTAACTAGACTACTAAATTATATTTTTAATGCAAATAAGAGGTTAATTAATATATTGAATCCACATGAAATCTTGAATGAGAATAAACCTATAGTATTAATTAATTAAATGTCTCAGATAATCACATACATAAACTGATTTATTAATTTTTGTATGTTTGTTAATTTGTATACGACTGGTGAAAATTAAAAGGGATTAACTGCTTTAGTGTTTGACTTAATTTAGTACTGTACTTGAACTGTAATCTACCTACCTAGTGATAATCCCTCTTCTTAAACACACACCATTCGCCCAGTTTTTATTCCTTAGAAAATGTACGCTTAGCTCAACAAAGGTAGGAATTAATACATGAGCTATGTTTTATTGCATTGCACTATTGTTTAATGGCGGACTTTACATGACCACTCACATTCTGTACAAAAATAAGACAAATTAAATAATTATTTGGGAGGGGAGGGCAGTCTAGAAAGAATCAGACGTTTAGCATTAGTGTGCTTGAGATGGTGCTAACACCAATATCATAGTATCAGAACTTTCATACACTAAGCACACATGCAGTTATGGGAGCATGCACATAATATTTCTCGTACTTTGTCTGCAATGGAGTGTCAAAATGATTAATGTCATTGCAATGTTCCGTGATTTGTAAGGTGGACTGTGCAGATTTTTGTTTGCAAAATTTGTTTGCCAATTGAAAATTATTGCAGATTTGGGTTTTATGCCAAAGGAATAATGAGTGAAGGTTGGGTTTCCACTTTTGTCATAGTATTCCAAGGTTGGATTAGTTGTATAGCACAGGAAGTGAGGCTAGATTGACTGTTGTAAGCTTGGTGTGATTTAAAAGCTTGTGTACATCATACATTAATAGTTATCATAACTTCAATATTGTTGTCGTTCACAAAATTTAGGCGGTTATTGGGGAAGATAACTACCCCCCCCCCCTTATAACCTTATCAAAAATCAAAACCTTCCTATAAAATAATGAGCTCAACTGCTGAGCTTTACCAAAACAACGCATAAATCATCTGAGCCATATATATTAAGAAAAAAAAGAGTCTCAGAACTTCCCCTCAACCACCTAACTTTTGTGAACGGAGTATAGGAGGTGATCATTTTTAACCAAATTGTTGCTCAAATCCTCGACTTGTATTACCTGATCGAATTTTGCAAAAGACCTGATATAAGAAAATATACTTAAAGAGGTTCCTTGATCAATTATTGATATTGATTCAAGGTTAATATTTTATGGACACCCGGTACCATACTTATTTAGATTATATAAATTTTAATTGCTCTTATGATTCTAAATTTGAACAAAGAATTACCTAAATGATTACAACAACTGTATATATTTAATAAATTATGGTCTTTTTCAGAATAGGCAAAAGATTTGAAGAGAAAAAGGAACTTCAATTCATATCACAAGAAAGATAATTTACAGAATAAGATGTAATACTTTAAAAACAGCTAAAAAGATTTAATTTGTACTACACAAAATTTACTGATTAAAGTAAGTGAAGTACTATGTAAATCTTTAATTTAAATCATTCATAACTTTAAATGGCTGATGCAACATTGTTTGAAAACAACATGGTGAAGACATGATTTCTTAAGTAGGCTAATTTAACTGGATGGAACATAGAGTCAAGACAAATAAGCAAAATGCCTCAAGTAAGCTGTGTTGTATCATATTTAATACACATAACAATCTTTGAGCAAGAGCTGATCACATTTTATTAATACACTAATTAACTGTTCAACATCTAACAAATTCTATAAAAATAGACATATAAAACCAACAGAATAATTCCGAGTAGTATCATCTTGCCTGGTGTTAGAAATCGGAAATATAAAACATAAAATGTTTAATATCACTAAAAAGCGTCTCCTTAACTGTCCAATATGTAGAAAAATGTTTTCAACCATATCAAATATGAAGTGCCATATATATTTACACACAGGCGAACGTCCCTTTAGATGTTTGACATGTGGGAAAACATTTATTCAAATATTTCCTCTAAAGAATCATTTGTTAACTCATTCTGGGTTGTGTCCTTACAAGTGCACTACATGTGGAAAATCCTTTAAAATCAGCACAATTTTTAAGAGACATGCATTGGTTCACACGAGAGAGCGACCTCATAAGTGCACTACATGTGGGAAATCATTCCAAACCAACAGCATTTTGAAGAGCCATACAATGGTTCACACGGGAGAGCGACCTTATAAGTGCACTATATGTGGAAAATCCTTTAAAAGTAAAAAAGGTATGAAGCAACATACATTGGATCACGTCAGAGGGAGACAACATCAGTGCACTACATGTGGGAAATCCTTCCAAACCAGCAGCGTTTTGAAGGGACATACATTGGTTCACACAGGAGAGCGACCTCATAAGTGCACTACATGTGGGATAACCTTCCAAACCAGCAGCATTTTGAAGACACATACAATGGTTGGGTCGCTGTCAATGCGCCACCACGTCAAACCGCCACCTCGGTGTTTTGGTCAGAGGCGTCAACCCGCCACCACAAAAAAACCGAGGTGGTGGGTTGACGTGTACGTACAGGTCAACCCGCCACCTCGACAACAGGCCACCACGACAACCCACCACCACACAATTTTCCGAGGTGGCGGGTTGTCGTACACACTCAAGTCAATGAACCACCACGACAACATGCCACCATGACAACCCGCCAACACCAGTTTTTATCAGAGGTGGCGGGTTGTCGTGAAGCTCCATGTTCGATGTCGGCAACCCGCCACCTCGTACGTAGGCGACAACGTGCCACCCCGTCAACCCGCCACCACTCTTTTACGAGGTGGCGGGTTGACGTGTACGCTCAGTGTTCGGTACCGTCAACGCGCCACCTCACTCATAGGTGACAACGTGCCACAATAAATAAATCGGTTGGATTTATATTCTGTAGCATTAAATATATTGTACTTTGATTCAGTTAATTTAGAGAAAGTTAATGTACTTAACTCTTAAATAGCATTTCTGGACATTTTAGTTTATATTCTGAAGAAAGATTGATAGATGATACAATTATTAACATGGTGAAAACCCGACATTTGAAAGGGTCTCACGCCCTTAAGGGTAGGAACTTTTAAATTCTAAAACCTTAATGCAAACTTACGAATTGGTCCGAATCCTTTAACACTAACACCTTAAACGTTGAAATTTGTCCACAAATAAGGGAGGAGTAGTGTTCACAAAACACAGTCCTCGCGTAATTAATATGAGATGATAAAAACGTATACCAAAAACAAAAATAGAATAGTTATTTTACTTAATTGCCAGTGAATAAACAATTTTTTTTCATTAGGCGTATAAATATATAAGTTTTTATGCGCACCTACCACCACGTGCGCACGCAACATACGTGTGAAAAGCATGCATTTTATACATTTAAACCGGCGATAATCAGGGATAGTCTTGTGCCATTTTATAATGGTGATTGCGAAAGCAAGACGCAAAGAAAATTGTATTCACTTGAATTCAAAAGGTAATTCGGGTGAAATTATCGGTATTCCGTGATTAGACCACGAATATACTAGAAGAGACCCGGTATGAATTATAAACATAAACAAATGATGTTTTTAAAAAATAGTACAACACCCCATTGCTGTAACAATTATGGTCCAAAAGTTATTTCAGCTTTTGTGATTTTGAACTATATACTATCACCGCTTTCCCATGATATAGGATGTTAACAAGCTAATGAGAGAAAGTATGTTTCAGAATGCTGATACCGTTTATTTTTACATTTATTTTGTCATTTCTAATGTTTGATATTAAGTAATCGTCCGTGATATGAAATAAATTGAATCACGTATATTGACACTTTCAATTGGCTGAAGGCCACTGGGGCAGAGCCCTGATGGAATTTCAAATGTGTTTTGTTTTATGACAAATTTACATGTCACGACCTATCCAACGACACCCTAAACTTGATGATCGGATGTGTAGCAGTTTCAAAACAATAATCACAATATTTGTGTTGGCCAATTAAATATTTAAACAATGATGATGTTTATGTGTAATGTATCCTCGACTAAACAATTTTCACAATGTGCAGTATATCGTATCTACATAGGTTAAAACAATATTACTGATTCATTTAAACCTTAATTATGCATCAAGTAGTTTCATTATACGATTAGATACAAATTTGACTTAGGATTATAACCTGAAAAAAGTCAAAGCCAAAGTCCTTTATTTTTGTAAACCTGATTTTTGTTTGAAAAAAACTTTTTTTTTTTGCAAGATAATGACTTTTGGTACCATTTGCCTCCGTTTAATAACTGATCAACGCTGTTAGGCGAAATAATATTACATTTGGATGTTAAAAATGTAACTGGCCTAAGCGTTTATTTCAAGTTACGGCCTGATTCAACAAATGAATGTTTGTGTGTTTGTTTGGGGTTCAATCACTCAATAACAATTCATTGGGCACATCGGGATTAGGCTGAAATTTGGCATGATGATAACACTTTCCTGATTAAAATATAGGCTTATTATTACCTCAAAACTTTTTTTTCTTTTTGCCTTTTTGAATATCTCTCGTATGTATTTAGAACAATGGCACAATATGCCTCATTATTAAAAAATCAGGAACGAACCACTAATTATTACTGGGAAAGGTGAACGAAATGCATGTTGTAAAATGTAGACGTGGACATCTGGTGCAAAGTATTTGGCCGATTGTTTAATATAAACAAACCCATAACAGTCAGTACTGGGAACTTATCAGAATACAGGGGTGTCCCGTTAATCCCCTCGAACGTTTCTACGAATGGACTTAATCTGAAATTTCTTAGATTTTTCTTTCACATCGACAGGCCATTCCAGTTATTGAGGTGTCGGGTCACTCAGGTCAGTTCACTTTCCCGTAGTTGCGAGATCGCGATTGCCCTTTAATTTCCAACCTAAATACTGTTTTCATTTCACGTAGTAATCACAAAAGAGAACCAAACTAATATTCTGCTGTTGATAAAACTATTCTATTTCTTGTATTAATTTATTTTATTTAGTCGTCGGATTATACTTTTTGAAAGATTTTTAGACAAAACAATCCAAATCACTGTTTTGAATGATATTGGACACGTTTCTTTAAAATTGTACTAAAACGTCACTTACCAAATACCATAATGTGACGAGATAATACGTTATCTGAAAACAATTGGCGGCCTGTTTAGTGTAATCATCTTCTTACCAACTGTCAATTATATCTTTACGTTATAATTTATTTACAATTAGTGAATAAACGGAACTCTGCTGTGCCCGTGATTCGTAACGGGAAGATGTAGCAAAAGTCCATACTGCCTAATCCAAACACTTGTTAAGTAGATTAATTTTTAAACAAATAGCAATCAAATTTTTACAAAAATGTATGCCCTACATTGTAATTACCCTACTGTTTACATTAAAATATATCAATAACATAATTTTTATAACTTATGGTTATAGAATTTTTCTTCATTTCAATAATCAATTGCATAAATAAACCTACCACATAGTTGTGTAAATTACATAATGTTTAAAATTAACATATGTTCTTCTTCTCATTTTTAATTTCTGACAACAGCTGGAGTTACATACATATAACAATGTCTGTTTCCCATGAATCTTATGGAGAAATATGAACCCGTAAAGGGCCCCAGGGCATCACCCTAATTATTTCCCTAAAAAGAAAGTTTCCTGCACAACTTCACGTTACGCTCTTTCCAAATGACACCAAAAACATGCCAATCGGTTTAGTAGTTTCGGAGGAGTAAATGTCACAGAAAACCCTGCTTGCGTATTAAATAAGTTAAAAATCTCTCACCTCAGAATTTTGAAAGCCCGTGGAGCAGATACTAGTTCAATATCGAAGGTGGGGGGTGGTTCTAATCCTCGGAGCGGTAGCTTGATTTTTGTCCAATCGGTTCAGACTTTATAGTTAGTTTATCTCATACAAACACAACCTCTTCTTTATAATAGTATAGATAGATTTGATGATAGATGGATAGATAGATGTTATTATTACGTGATTATTGTTATTGTTTATATTTGATTTGTTTACAAGCTGTACACAAATTTAGTTTAGTTAGTAAAGATACTTTTAAATATGAATCAATTATTTCATACAATTTTCAACAGTACATTAGTGGAATGCCCCGAACCCATTGTGCCAAGAGCAAAAGCACGGCATTAATGCTACTTTGATATTATCCGCAGCGTGCTGCGGCGGTTATGTTAGGTTGGGTTATCATAAATGTGTTTGTAGAACTTTCTCAGTTTCGTTATGGATGGAATGATACCAGATGAGTCATATCGCCAAATCCCCTCCAAGTAGGCCAAGATCATGTCGTTGAAAAATGGCCTAAGCGCGCGCATCACCTGTCACCACCCGTATCTCAGGTATCGTCACTCATGTTGTATTGTTAGATTCATAATGAAACGAGGAAACCCAACCTAACATAACCGCTACAGCGCGCAGTATTTACTCAGTATCTACTCGGCGG